GATTTTTGCATCATTCGGCTTACCTAAACTTTAGAAAAGATTAATTAATTTTTTCACAATGACTTCAATGCCTCTTTATCGTTTTTTACAATTTTACACAAAATAAACCTAATTTCAAGTCTTTTTCATTTCAAACTTTTACAATTGGAAGGTCGCACATTTTTGCTTATAAAAATTTACTTTTTCATTAGTACTACCAAAAAAAAAACCAATTAACTAAATTAACACTAAAAGTACAAGAGAAATTGAGCGGTTTTACTATAAGTACCTATTTTAATTTTATAAAATTTATTAATTATTGCCTTTTGGAACGTCTTTTCTAGCTTATAAAGAATAATAGTAGTTATGGGGATAAAAGACGAAACTGTCGATTTTGCCCCTACAATAATTTTTGCACTGTGTCGCTTTTACCCATGAACCATTTTTAATGGTTTTGAATATGAATTAAAATACGTTTTTGGTATTTTGGATTTGCTGTGTGAAAATGTAGAATATTTGCTTTTTTGTTTGTTAATCTTTGTCGCGATTTGAATTTATAGGGCTTTAACGTGACGAATGTGGCTTTTTATTGGTGAACGTTGCACCATTGGCTTTTGGTTTACAATGGTGTAATTAGCAGTCCCGTCAGTTGGTTTGAGAGGCTCATCGATTTACGTCATATCAAATTTAGTAAGTACGCTAATGAATTCAAGCTGAAAATAATAAATTGATACAGAGTGACAAAATTAATTTTTCCATTATCCTGGTAGATGTAAATTCTTTATCGAATATGACACGTAAAGCCATTTATTGTGTAATATTTCATTAGAATTAATGCAGCAGAGTTTTCCCAAAACACAACAGATATTGACAATAGAGCATAAATTATTTGAGTATGAGTAGTGTCAATAAATTATTCTCCGACTATAACTATTGCCTTAGTCATAAACAACATGTTTGTAATAATAATTAGTTGAACAATAAATTTCGCCAACTTATTGGATTCCGCAAGTTGAATCCGACTGATTCCGGGCTATACCTACGGTGTATAAAATTAATAAGAAGTTTCCCTTGAGTTATTAACGCAATGAAGGGTTGTTGAGTTACACTGATTACGACTTTATTGCGTCGACGTGCCACCTGCACAATGACAACACCTTCCAGTTTCTCCCGAATTAAGACCTACATAGAATAATTAGTCATTATACGCTGTAGCGCACTAAAACTCCGAGCTTTATCTGGAACTCCATCTATTCTCTTAACATTTCTTACGCAAGCTTTTTGGCAATTTGCCCGAATGATAGCCCACAAATTCCATCTGACCCAGAGATAACTGAACTGTAAATGGGGACATAAATATTAATTAAAAGGGCGAATCCTAGCTTCCGTCAATAAAATCTTAGCTTAAATTTTACTTAAAACAACAAAAAACAAACACACTGATGTCTCCAACGATCGATACAAACTCGTCCACAATGATTTCGCTTTTAAAATGGCATGGAAATGCGATTTGATGACATCTTCCACGATTGTTGTAAATGCCACGCCTCGTGTGATCGATCAAGGAGACGCTGACGAATACTTTTACGATTTGTAACGACTGGACATCATACATAAAACCGCAAGTGTCTGTACCAAACTTAGTTGTAATAAAATTATTTTTTATAAATCGCTCTCTATAAATATTGTCACATCTACTTTATTCCACAATAAAAACAATAAGTTCGGTTTGGTGTTTACTTTCGTGATGGAGCCAAACCGAAATTCATTTGATACTTTGACTTGGAATCAAATCACTCCCCACATTTATCTCAAAGTCGCAATAAAACAAAGCACATTTTTTAAAACTTATCCACTTAAATCGTGAATCAAAAATAGCACAGCATCTCATGGAACCAAACAAGATTAGAATCAGCAGTGAAGAGAACTATTTGCTTCCTTGACGTCATATGAGAAAATAGCAAATTGTTTGTATCGATTACATTTGTAGAAATTCAGAACTCCAAGGAATGTTAGTAGTTTGTACCAATCCTAAAGCGGTCTAAGGTTCCTCTCTGCTTCATTACACTCAAACAATAAGACCACAAACATTGATTAAAGTTCCCTTTATTCAATTATTTTTCCATTTTGTTCAAATTCAGTGACTCAAATACATGCAAAGGAAGTATCTCTTCCAATCCGTTTCATTTCCATTAACTTACAAATATGAAAACACCACGTGGGTGTGATATAATACGACAGCTCTGATAACATAAGCAAACGAAACATGTTTTCTATTTGTTTGCGTTAATTCAATTATTGCAAATTTTGTTGTACAAATAATACTCACCAGCGTGCATTCTTCATGCATACTTTACATATCTGGCAGCTATTTTCGAATTAAAACTTAACATCCGTGAAAGCAAATAAATCAAAACCACAAAACGCACTTCCCTTGAATGGGTTCAAAGTCTCATGCGTCCACATTGAACGAAAGTATTAATCCAGATTTGAGCTCTTTTCAAAAGAAGTTGTAATTATCTCAAGTAATTGTATACTTTATCCCACGGCTATTATTACGATATTCGCGAAAATAATGACGCGGATAAGTTTTGCTTCCACTTGCCACCGCTTATAATTGACATTTTAAATGCAGATTGAAAGATTTGAAGGGCATAATGTTTGCACAAAGCTTTTTTATTTCAATTACACTCCACATGTTTGGTAAGCCAGAGTTTTATAATCAAATTCTATTGTTGTTTTAGTGAAACTTTCCTCTCCATAGAACTTTAGCGTTTAACAACTCTTGTTTAATTATTGACTTTTATAGTACATTCATGGTTTGATTTGCAATTTTTTCATTCGACGTTCCTCAAATCAAAACTCCTTCATTATTTAGTCTAGTTCATTCAACAAAAAAAACACAAATTTTCATTAGCTAATCTAATGAATTATGCAATGCTGTTCACTTTTATTTTGATATATCAGACTCTACCTTTGTTCGAACATCAATTGAATTAACGTTCGATCTCACTGAACAAAACAAAACCGCATTTTCCTCACACATTTCCTAAAAATATGTTAATACAGAAACTTGTATCGCTTTAGGCGATTTCTATATGAAAATTCAGTTGACGGTTTTGCCCGTCTGTGGTAGACACAAACATAAATCATTTGATAAGTTGCTAAAAGTCAAAAGTTTGCGACTTCTAAAATATAGATTTAAATCTTATTGGCAGCCACGTAGGAAGTTACGACCGTTGACTGCCATTTAATTGTTATAATGAAAAAACTTTTCTTTTTACAGATGATTAAGACGCATTTTAAACGTTGCTTAAAAGCCAACTTTAGACCGCTAACTTCATTCCCTCAAAGTTTAGGTTTAATTGATGTAATAGAACTCGTATATGATGAAAATAATCATTATTGCTGTTAATTATCAATTATAGATTTACATTTTTTTAATAATTTAATTTTAATAATTGTGTTATTAATTTTTTTTATGTTTAAATAATAAAAGTAGTATAAAATAAATAAAAAAAAAATTCAACGAGCATAAAAAATATTTTATCTACGCTCGTCACCAAGGGCGGATCCAAGGTAGGGGTCCAGGGAACCAGAGCCCCCCCCCAAACTTGCCACCAAAAGCTTCAATTTTTTATATTTAAATTTTAATATAAAAACCTTATGACCTAAGTTTTTTAACTAAAAACGTTAGAATTCTTTTTAAATCACACTTATTAATACAAATCATACATATACCGAGAGATCAAAATAATTTGTAATCATTTTTGGATCTAAAAACGTACAGTTCGGAATTAAAATTTCGGGCAGTACTGTCATTTTCATAATGTAAACTCTAAAACAACCTTTATATTAATAACCTCATTTTTTACTCTTGTCATATTTATGTCATTTTGACTTATTTACTTTCAAAAATAGTGATTTGTGGCATAATAACGGGTAGGCAGTAGATCTTAATAAATTTCCTAAGACAGATAAATTGTTTAATTAACAAATTTGACAACAAATAAAAATAAATTTAATTGTCAAATGTCAGTCATGATGACAGTAAAAGTTAGTTTTAGAACTAACTGCAAGTGAAACATCAAATAAAATGACATGTCGAAAACGGCAAAATGGGCTGGAATTAGTCGCCGACGTATAATAATAAGACCGTTCTTTTTTGAAGGTAAATCATAAATTTAGTTATCTTTTTGTTTATGAAATTTTACCTTTTCACTTGTCATTTTATTTGACGTTTCACAGACATACGCACAGGACATACGTTTTCGGATATCTCTCGATACTTCCTTAGTTTTTACTAATTTAAAAAGAAATCATCAATTGTAATTTTCTTTGGGCCACATCTTAGGTATCTAATTAAATTAAGTTTATATCTCTTTGAATAATGAACTTTACCAACTCGCTAGAACATCTTATACACAATTTTCAACTTGTTTTAAAATTCTACACTTTTTGGTTTTTGGGTAATGACGGCAGCGACATTTTTTTTAATGGAAACTCCCATTTTTTTAGCGAATTCGATAGATAATTGTCGAAATGGCAACACCAAAATATTATGAATTACATAGTTAAAAAAATATCCAAAAAGTAAAATAATGTCAATAAAAAACAAAGATACAATTTTAAATCAAGTTAAAAATTTTGTATTTTTTAAAAAGAAAATTGACCTGTTCGAGCATTTTTCTAAAACAAAATATATTCAGTTTTAATAAATAAGATTATTCTATAATTTTGCCGCTCACTGTATACCCTCATCATTTAAAAAATTGTTAGATAGCCCCCCCAAAACAACCTAAATATTTAAATGTTCTATTCATGTTCAGCACCGTTTTATATATTTGTTTTTATTTTAACAATTTATTGACTATATGTTTGGCTCTAAAACAGGGGTGCGGATTGGCGCTTAGTTCGCCTGCCCAAATTGTGAATTAGTGTTATCTGTTTGGTAAAAAGCTTTCAGTTCGTTGGTTAATTAATTTGGTGTAATATTAATGGGTGGCGTTTAATGTTTGCAGGTGAGCTTCCGGCGGCTGTCCACCACGGCAATGCAGCCCCTTTGGGACTAATCTCTCCCACGTTGGTTCTGCTGTCGGCTTGCTGGCTATTGGCCTGCCAGAGGTGACCCTTATCTCCTTATTGGTGCAGCATTTTTAATTAAGGCCCAGTGAAGGTGATTTCAGTGAACCTACGCACTATAAAATTATCATATCATGGTGCCGCGAATGGACCAATTCGTTACCTCACGGGAGTAGTTGACTTGTGCTGTTGTGACATTAAAGCCAAATCTTTTTAATTTTATTATACGAAAGGCTAGTACGATTTAACTTTAAAAAATACGAAATTCCGGGTTTGATCTTGCTCGTGCCAGTTGGATAACCTTTTAGTGTGCACTTGTGAGCCATATTCGAACAAATTCCAACAAATTAATTTTGAATAATCCACACATTGCCCGTTTTCTGCACTAATTCCAGATGAGATGGTTTTTCTCTCTTGATTGGCTTCCAGTCTATTTGAAAGGTTATTTCACAGGCTTTAAAACAAGTGAGTGTGTTTTGACAAGAACCTTGCGATTAATTATTTAATAAAAATTTATTCAAATAGTTACGTGAAGACATTGGAAAGCTTTTAAACGCTGTTTCGTGACTTTAGTGCATAAAATGAAACAATGAACAACAACAAAATCATGTGATATAATTAAATTTATTGGGTGTAATTAAATTATATAACGTATCATATATTTTATCTACTTAATATTTATTTAACATTAAAAATAAAGATCTTTCTATTCAAGAGAGTCAAGTTAAAAAAGGAACCAATATTAGCATTCAGTAGAATGGAAGATCTTGTTATTTATTTCAGGAGTCCTCACAGTTAAAATATTGTAACTAATTAAATAGTGTACTTTTTTTAAAATATGTAACGAATATATCATAAGTATAGCCGGACTCCTGATCATGTTGTGTATAACTTAACTAAAAATATAAATGTCAAATTAGTTGCGATTTTAACATCCAAATATCGGAAGCATAAATAAAAATAAACTGTATTCAACTCCTAAATGAGACTAAATGCTGTGATAGTGATAGGAAATTAAAAAATTTAATTGTTTTATAAAATTCGCAAAAATTACATTTTAAATTTGGCTTAGAACCAAGTCGTATATGGTTTTTTATCTTGATTGTTTCCCTGCTAGGCCACGTTAAATTTAATTAAAATCTGTATCGCTTTCTGAAAAAATTTTAGCTTATTGTTTTTTTGCAGTCGAATGTAATTTTCGATTTGAAAATTGAACGTGTTATGTGCAAGTCAAAATTGAAATTTGTTAATATTGAAAGCGATTGCACGAGTTTAGCTTGAAGCGTTTATAACGTCGAGATGATCTCGTTCTCGTATTCTACGCAAATCTATCAGCAAATGGGTACTCCTCTACGATTTTGGAATAGTAACAAAACGATCGATAGTGGATGCTTAATTCGCAACATAGTTTCTTCCATTTCTGTATTATTCAAAATAGAGTAGTGACTTGACTAGAGGGAGCTCTTTGAATAACTTGCGACGATTTCCTACTTTCATGGCTCGCTTCTTCGGCTTCATCAATCAACATTTTTAATTGAAACAAAAAATACATTGATTTTATGAAGCTAATTTGGTTTGTATCGCTGCAAAAACAGCGAATGAAATAGTTGTCTCATCCATAAATTGCCGCAAATAAAGTACAAAGAGTAAAAAGGAGAATCGAGATCTTTAATCTTTGTGGCTTCGCATGTAGACAACCCGATGTGCACTCGTGTCAGGTTAGCTGAGAGCTTTCTTTTGTTCCGTCAAACTAAAGTGTCGTCGATTATTCTTCCTGACCCAACAATTAACCGGTTGTTCATCCTAAAAGCCTCGGACCGCCACAAATTTAATTATTCAAATAAAACACTTATAAAAATATAAAATTTGCAATTAAGGGAGCTCCTTCTACAAATATACATACGCTCTTACCTACCCTTGTATAAAATTTTATAAAAAATTAATTAGACTTGTTATAGGAGACACAAAGACACGATTTAGTTTCTAGTTGAAAATGAATTAGTATTCAAAATTGCAATTGTGATTTTTACATTTTGTATAAGTGTAGCCTTGTCAATATTTATCAGGTTTCGATTTCAGTGTAAAAATGTAATTAAGGAAGGAAAACTGTGACAATTGGTGCTGGCCATCTCTAGTCTGATACAAAGGATTTGAAAACTCGGCCAATGTAACCAGTAACCGGGCTTACTCGAGTCCAAGTTACATTGGCAGGGTTAACTTTTATGGAAAGTTGTAAATAAACACATATGCTGTACATGTCATGACCACTTCTGCACACGATACAGCCGAGTCGAACTAACGCTGCTTACCCTGGTTCGTGATGAATGTCTGCTAAATGGTGCGTGATCTGATTTAACAGCTGCTACGGAAGGCTAAGCTTTGATCAATTCACCCAACACTACACCAGAATTTTTACGGATATTGTTAGCCAACATCCAAATCTAATTCATAAATCATTTATCGCTCTTCTTTTGTCTTTACGTTCGTATGAATCTTGCCGGTTTTGAACGCCATCTGTTTACTATAAAACAATTAAAAAATCTTTAAAGATCGAATTGGGTCTTGTGTGTAGTAAAAAGAAAAAAGCTTCTATTGCACATCGACTCCTTTCAAATTTCCATTCAGGGAAAACCGAATTCTTCTCACACTAAGGGGTTTTACCTAAGTGGTTTCCCTAGCTGTCTAGATGTTATTTATTTAACCAGTGAAGAATAGGTGAATAAACACAGAATTCTTCTTCGACGGCTAACAGATAGAGTCAATCTGACGATCTGCAGGTCTAAAGACGTTGACACAGCTGTACAATTCGATACGAAACGAAATACATCGACCATTTTTAAGCACAGGTTCAAAAATTATATTTTCTAAGTTACTCACCCGATATTTTCCAATTTCCGCAAATAAGTTTCAAGTAAATAGCAAAAGTTTTAAATTAAGGTCATATGAAGTAACAAACTAATCTTGTTTATAACTTATAGGTACGCCAATTTATTGCACCAGAAATTACAGTCGCACCAGATAATCAACGTTTGTTCGCTCGAATTCTGTAAATAATGTTGGATAAATGTTTCACATAATGTGATGATGTATATAAAACCATACAAAACACATTATATAGACATTGTTTGTTGTTTTATAAATAAAGGATAAGATGATATTCTCGTGTTTTCTTCAAATTTGTTTAGTCCAGATTTACGTATACGATCCTAGCCACAAGATTAGACAGCAATAATCCCAATAAATCTAACAAAAGCATTATATAAAATTGTAAGCCGCCCGATATCAGGAAAGCTCCCGTATCTCTCGATAAAACCCAACATCCGTATGACCGTCGACACAATATCGTCAATATGTGGTAAGTAGCAAGCTGACTGACTAGAATTACAGATAAACCCCAACTTTACTTTTATTTCAAGAAATTAATGCGCATTTTAACGTTTACACTCTCATCAATATTTAAAAAGATCAACTCTCCTGAATTCATTCGCCAGTCACAGCTTTCGGATCATTCTAAATTCACCGAAGAACAATGATATTTGAAAATTTCATCCGATTCCGATTCAACCGATGAAATTTTTCAGATTCAATTAATCCAGTTTATTGGGTTAGAAACATGTAACTATGGAAATTTAATCGCATTTTAATTACTTCACAAAACGTGTAATTATTGGAAATAAATTTTACAAGCCACATTAAAATACAATATTTTGAGCACTGTCTTCATAAACAAATTACACTCTCTAGTTAAAAAAATTGTAACAAAATATAATTCATCGGTTGTGTTAAATATAAAAATGTCATTTTTATTTTCTGCTGAGGAAAACTCCTACAATAGCGCAAATAAAAATTGTCGTTTGATTGGATTCCGTTTACCTCAGTTCTAATCTATTTTTTATGGCTTTAATTAAGTTAATTCCTTCGTAAAACAATTTAAAAAAGCGTTTTATGTTATGGTTTAGTTAAGACTTTCATGTACTTTATGCAAATAACTTGATCCAACTTTCTTAATACATGTTTCGATTATTATTTATAGGTATAGGTTTGTAATATAAGAGCTTGAAATTTAATTATTTTATGCAAACAAAATAATAAACGAGTATGTAGTGAATATTTACGGACCGATTGTAAAGTGAACAAACTGGAACTGATTTTATAATAGTACGCAATAGTATGCATAAATGAGTTTGTTATAAGTATATTCATTGAGAGTAATTTCTACTCATTGCTCTATTTAGTAAGTATAGGTGAATAGGTTAATAATATTTCTGTTGGAAAAAATGTATAACTGGGAGGAGCTGATCCAAAAACAGTCATTCTCGACGTATTCAAGCATATATGGTATTTTGCATTCTTAAAAATATTTTCACGTATAACCCGCCTTTGCCATATATCGCACGTGTTCTACAGGGTCGTGTCCAAGTGCTGTGCTGAGCATAGTCAAATAGGAATTCTCTGTTTTAAGAAATGCCAAACATGGTTCGTTATCTGCAATATCCAGGGTATACTCTAACACTAAAAACTAATTTAATTAATTTAGAATGCCAATACTCATGTACAAAAACGCAGCTTTCTATTTTGTCCATAGATTACTTGCAATAAAAAAATGTATAGGTTTTTTTATTTAAAGTTGTTATAATTTGCTTCGGTATTTACATTTTAATATAGAGGAAGGAGGGCTATAATCAAAATCCTTTGATTTATTATTTTTCAAATTATGACACTGTAGTGAAAGTAGATATTTTTTAAGTCATCAATAAAAATAAAACAGTGCACTCTTCCGTAATTTAAGTAACAATGACAAAAAATATCAGATATAAGCCGTGTGTGGATAGTTTACAATCTCCGGTGCCAATCCGGGAAGTCACAATGCTTAACAAATTTATCACTTTTACTTTTGTTGAGCCGATTTAAGTTAATCTATTAGGTCCTTTTTTGAATTCCATCACTTTCACTCTTAAAAAAAATTAATAATTAGTCGTCTGCGTTATTGTTTCAACTGAATTGAAAACGGGTCAAAGTGAACAGTTCTTCCTTCACTCAGATGTAAGTAACATCATTTGCAATCGTCGTTCGTCGAGTTTATTGTCACAATTACCGTCATCTCATGCATGACGCTACATAACTATCTATTCGTTCTTAAACAAGAACTCATCTACTAAATGTCACTTTGATGTTAATTTGAATGTGGTGTATAATCTAACCGAATTATCAGCACTTGGGGAGCTTGATACCGAAACGATTAATCCAGTGAATAAATTTTTTCAAAAACAATATTAAGCAGTTTTTAAGCTCAGAGATTACTAGTTGGTAAATAACTGATTAAGCTCTTTGAGGGCATGTTTGGTTTATGGAAATTTCGCGTATCCTGTGGATACACAATAAAAGCAAAATCATTTTATAATTAATTTCAAGGGGCGACCTAAACAAATCCGAATCTCATCAGGCAAACACATTCATAGCAGTTAAAAAACACATTTTAGGTTTTACTTGTTCAATTTGAATTCTTTGTTTTCTTCAGAATCTATTATATTACGGATACCAAAAACACGCAAAGTAATTCAAATTTGTTCAAGCAGAAAAGTAGAAAACATGATTACATACATTTAGGTAATTGCTTGTTATTGTAAAATTATATGTAAACACTTTTGGATGGACTATTTTCCTCTTTTCGAACCAGTTGTGAAATGAAAACTGCAGAAAGGTAAAGTCTTAAATATCAGAACTGGCGTCCTCGTGCCAAATTTGAGGACACAATTTCTAGCTCGCTTATTAACATATAAGATTCCTAAATGAGCTTGTTTTAATTTTGAAAAATGTGGCCGTTTGTCGGTTTAAAAACTGAACGGAAACGTGAGGTCTTTAAACAATAAATTTACACTAATGTAAAATTACGTAACGCGCACTGGTCTTTCAAGTCTTTTTAATCTTACATAACGTTAAATGTCAAATCGCCGAGTGGCGGAAGGAAATTTTTCCAGGAAGTGAAATTATGCATCTTTCGAACTGTTCCGGTTATCTAGTAATGTTTAATTTATCAGTCATACTTGTTGCGCCAAATTTAAATTTAATTTAACTAGCAATTATTGTTGGTGGAATTTAGATGATCGATTTGAGCGTAATAGACGAAATTCGCAATAGTGTATCATTGTGGCTGATCGATCTTAATAGAGTAAAAACATTTATAAATGTTATGATCACTGATTCACAAATAATGATTTCTTTGGATGTGGTAAGCGATGCAAGTAAAGCCGGAGTGGGGTTGCTATACAGGGGGGATTTCAAGCAAATCGAATTCAAAGTTCTGCAGTTTGTTTAAACCAAGTAATATAATTACATCAAAATATGAGATACAAAGTAAGTACAATTCTTAAAAACCCACTATTCCTTATCAACTTTCGCGCGGTTTTTCACTGATTCCAATAAAAATAAAGTGCTCCAAGAAGTGAACGTGAATTTGAATTAGCTCTCTCGCCTTTTTGTGTTCTCTGGTGAGGAAGTTAGTTAATGATTGTAATGCATGTGAGTAGTAGTTTAGTTTTGTAAATAACAGTAATTCTTGTGAAGGAAGATACCGATTAGATTAAACAGACGTATCATCAAATCACGTGCAACAACAATAGTTAAAGTAGTGCTGTTTTATATGGACCAATTAATAAAGATTAAACAGGTCGTTTCTCAGCCGGTATCATTAGCATTGTTAACATCCTAAAATCCTTTAAGGATGCTGTGCGGATAATATCCTCTTTAATTAATTATACCACATCAACATTTCTTCATTTTTTTGGCGGATTTCGTAAAAGTGCAAGTAAAACAAGACCACTTTTGTCTTCTTTTAACAAGTTTTGAAAACAATCTTTCAATCAATTACATGTGTGCGTTACACAATTAACGTAATTGCAAAATTTCTACACTACAGAATCGTGCATGTGTTATTTTGCTCGAATTGTTTAAACATGAACTTTCATTATGTCATTTATTATTTAATAAGAGTAATCGCTTAAAAGTGAACGGATAAATAATTCACTCGAGAGATTTGTTCGACTCAATTCGCTTGCCAACAAACATACATACCTAAATACAAATTTCAATCATTTATTAATTCCACCTCATTACAATAATTTTCAAAAAATTGACAATTGCAATACTGATCTAATTTTAACTTAAATTTATAAAACTTTTTCGTTATTGTTGTACCAAAATGATGGTATTTGTAATTAAAATTATTATACCTTTCCCTGACAGATAATTAGATGCGAAGTAAAAACTCGGTGCTTTTTTGGAGTTATTAGCACTGAAATATTTGTGTTCCATGTCTCTAGCGATTATTGCCCTAATAATAATCAAAAGTTTTTACAATAATTAAATTTTAGAAAATTAAGTTGAAGAAGTTCTGTTATTTGTGCACGTGTTTGATCGAAACTTTCTACAGTGGTTAACCACCAAACCCTCGTGTCTTGCATGAACTGTTTTTGTCAGTTTAGTGTGTAAATCCAACATTTTTACACTTTGTGGGCAAAAAGATGTAACTTGTGGTTATTACACCACTGGTACAAAAATATCAAAAACTTTTTCTTCGCAAAAATTTCTAATTTCAATATACTTATATAACTGTTACAGTATTTGACTCGTCTATTTTCCACTCCATTGATTTCAAAATTTAATTAAGAACAGAATGAGAGAATAAAAATGAGCAGGAAATGAGTTGATTCCCTTTCAATAAACTAAATTATCTTTAAACTTCCGAGCTTAAGAAAACAAATTGAGTTATTTTTTACAGACAATATACGATATCACATCAATGGAATTTAATTATCAATTTTGTGCGTCATTTATTTTTGACAATATTCTACCATTTTCCATGAATTCTTTTTATTTATTTAAATTACAGTCATTTGCATATATTTAATAACACTTCAATTATCCTCTTCTCAACGTTGAAATTATACTTTCATTATTATTATATTTACAGATATCAGTTACAAATCCTAGTGTTGGAAGCAATGACAGCGACACAATTGGGTAAGTTTTTAATTAAATTTAACTTCTGTTTGACAGCGTTACAAATCATGAATCATTGAATAAAAGCAAATTTTTTCAAACGATTTCGGTGAGCAGTACAAGAACTATGAAATATTGCTCCAAACTTAATCCATTAACACTTTCAAATAAAAAGTTAAGTAATATTTTAGAAGGTAAGAGTGAAAGATTACAATCAATTATTTAATCTGAACATAACTAGTAAATATAATTTAAGGGTACTAGTTATTAAATTAAATGAAATTAAATTAAACAGTGATCGAGTTTTTTTAGGCGGAGTCTAGTCTGCCTTTGAACTTCCTTGACATTGACCGCTCCTTTTATTCAACCAAAATAACCATATTAACATATAAATTACACTAGAAAATACATCTACATCTCGTAAATATACATTTCAACACATTTGCGATATTTTCAAGTTCGTTTATAGTTTTTGATTAAAATTTAAAAGCTTCCTAAATATAAAACCATTAACCATGTTTCAAATGTTTCTTTGATTTCAGTTGAGTGCGGATATCCTAACAACATAATGTCACAAAATAGTAAATAATTTTTATGTAACACTTTCCCAATAATACGAAAATTATTCTCGCATGACACTGCGACTGATTAATTAGCAACATTTAAATTTATGTAACCAAAACCATCACCATAATTATCTCAATATTCGGAAATAACAGCGTTTTTGATAAATGAGACTATAAATTAATGAATTAATTTACCACGGGATCAAATGAAAACAAAGCAAATGCTATTTATAAAGCTATTTGATACAAAAATGTGTCTATTGTTAAAAATCTAATTAATTACAAGTCTCTTGAGTGGGTGTGTGAAATTGTAAAGTGAACATCAGAAACTTTTTAAAACTAAATCATTGACAGACCAACACAAACCGAGAACGGAAACATCTCAAGCAAATTTAGCCTCAAATACAAATAGTTATAGTAAACGAAGTGTAACCTGGTTTAACGATCTCTGACGCATTTTGCGTAGAACATTATTAATATTTGCATTCCGGTATTCCAAAAAAGTAACATTGTTTGTCACCTAATTCAAATGATTTGGTGATTAATGATTACCATAGTTGGCACATTGATTAAACTCATAAACAGGTAATTACGAGTGGTGTGGAAGTCGGAATCATTTTTCAAATTAAAACAAAATTCAAGATATAATAAATCTTCATCTCCAATGACAAAAAGCTCCAAATTGAATTGATTTATCCAAAAGAAGCGGTCTAATCTTAGCCTTCTTCCCCACCTTCTACTTAACAGGACCATCAATTATGCGGCGCAGTGCTCTGTCTACCTTCCTAAAATAAGGGTTGACACGTCGCACATCACCCAGGAAATTATTTTAGTACCTCTTTGAACGGTTTTATGTAAACATCTTGAAGGTTCTCACCAATTAAATGACTCATTGTTTACGCAGGCACAAAGGAGCGAAAATTTTCTTTCTGCTTTAGCACATAAAACAAACGTTTATTCGAAAGATGACGAATTTTACACGAATTTACACATTTCCTTATCACAGCGTAATTAAATTTCAATCACAGTGTTTTCTTAAAATTAGCAAAAATACATAACGTAATATCCTAGTTTCTGAAAGGATATTTCGAAAGATTAAAGTGAGAAACGTGAATTAATAAAGCCCGAGAAAAACGACTAACTAAATGACAAAAAAGTAACAAATAATGTCAAATCAAGAGCTTGTAAAAATAAATCTTTCCTGTCAACGATTCTGTAAAAACATGAGACTATTAATCTGTTTAATGTTTCTACAATTCAAGCTCTGAAGATATCACAGTTAAATCTGCTTGCATAAATCTGTACTTTTGTAATTTCCATAAAAATCACTTTCCGTGTTAGAAAGTAAATAGACCTCAACCCAATTTCTTATTTTTCAGTTGTTAGGTCGGGTTAATCATGTGAAACAAATTTCAAAATTGATAAATCTCGTCGATGATTCGAGTTTTAATTAGGGATTATTGAACAATTTTTGCCATTAGAGATACAATTGCATCTATCTCCAACATTATTAAAAAATAAAACGTTCTAACTTAATTAAATTTGACGTAAAATCTGTTTACGTGTTTAAAAAATGTGGAATAAGTGACGATAACTTTGTTCCAGGCTTCTTTGTCCCGTTAGTATACTGATAAAGTGATAAATGTAACAAAATTGGTATGTAGTGAAAATAACGGCCCACAACACAACGATAGCATTCTGCAAGTGACATGTATTTACAGATACAATGACATACGATTTTGACTGTCATATGGTGTGAATGTCGCTGAAAGCCTTTTAAATAGAGATGTCCGGTGAATACGCTATTTTTGTTATTCGCGCAAAATTTGATTTTAAATTAACCACTTACCAAAATACAAATCAAAAATTGCAAAATTATTCAAAGCACGTGTGTGGTTCATTGCGACTAATTTAATTTTTTGTTTCAGGCCGGGAGACAGATCGTTTCGATTTCCACTTCTTATTTTTTTATGTGTCAATTTACTACTGGTCCTTATAGCGGCTATTGTTCTATTAAAGTCGCCAATGTTACAAAACGATAAACTCTGTCTTTCGGAGCAATGCATCAATACAGGTATGTAAAATCAAACCAAATTCAAAAATAAGTTTCACCCAAAAGCTGATCAAGTGAAAACAGGAAAAAAAATATTTCTTCCGTTTGCCTATCAGTGTTGTTCCGTTTAATGTCCGGAAAATTCTTTGTAATATCGCGGTTAGATTCCTATTTTCCGGTCACTGTTCAGCAATATGAAACGTTTAACAAAACAGATAGATATTTATTGCGTGGCCTTTGTAAGCGATACAACAAAACATTTATTTTGTAGTAAAACTTTCTTATACGGTATAATCGAGTTTAGAAGGGTAGAGTGCAAACTGGTTCAGATAAAAATTTATCTTTCAGAAAAAAAATTCTCGATCACACCAGTGACAAAATTTTTAAAAACTCGATATTGTATTTTGCCAAATTTATTCCGTGTGAATACATCAAATTGTTTTTATTATTATGTATTCCTCTAATTCTCCAAATTGTCAATAAATGATGGAGAAAAATTGTTCTAGCATTTTATTCAAAAGCAAATTTCCCTTGAAACGCTACACTTTAACGAAAAATAATGATAAACGATAACAGTGTGACACGAGAAATACAAAATACTCGTAGGTACATTTGAAGTAGTTACTTAGATACATCATTTACTGCGTAAACATCTGTACCCTTTACACATAGCCCAGTTTACTGATTATGCGTCACTGAGCAAAGCCAATTCAAAAACCCTAACAAAATCCATAGAGGCGTCAATCTCTAACCCTGTGGGTCTCGTTCTACTTACGCTCTGCTTGGCACCTTAATTTCACTCGATGAGAGCCACAAACCCATAAGAATCAGCAGCTCAAATCAGAATTGAAAGATATTAAAATTGATCAAGTCACGTGTCACATAATTTTTGCAAACAACACTTTTTATATAAGTTAAAAACTCGCATTAGCTCGTCAGCCTAAAGTTTAATATTAAACAGTCCAACGTCTTAATGCTTTATTTTTTAACAAAAATTTTTTTTACATTATTTTGAGACATTTAAATGAAAACGTTGTTCTTGTTTTGTTGAAACAGTCATATGTTCCTCAAAAAACATTAAATAGAGAGGTATTAGAGAACTTCGGACGATACTGTTAAAGTTTTATCGCTCTTCTCTATCATCAGAGTAACGATTTTTACAACTTTAATTGTATTTGTTAACGTTGAATTAAAAAAATAGTTTTAGATTTTTTTTACAACATTTCAATCAAAGGACAGATACACAAAGGCCCTTGTACAGTTTTTTTTCTTTGTGTGTAAAGAGTACAAGCCATTTAAATAACACATAAAAGCCATTTACTCACAGCTAATTGAAAATTAACTTGGCTAGATTCACACGACGTTAATCTGTTATAAATTAATTTGTAAACACAAAAGCAACGAGTATGGACTGTGAGCTAAAAAAGATTACTAGTAAAAGAGATATTACGCTGTAATATAACTAAATGTAATCCGGTTTTCAAATTAAATTTACGTTTTTTGATAAAGACATTATTTGGCTTCTGAAAATTTCCTAAAAAAAGAATACATAATACAAAAATGAACTGTGGACACGTATTGATTCTGATCAATGTCCGGAGCTTTATGAAAACTTTTAAATATCACACTAACAACAAACTAAATCAACAAAACTTTTTGTTTAGCGTCGAATATCCTCCGTGCAATGGATCGGAGTGCGGACCCTTGCACAGATTTTTATCAATATTCATGCGGCGGCTGGATCACCACAAATCCTGTTCCTGACTGGACCGCCACATGGGATAGACTAGCTTTGCTCCGGGAGTCTCTAATGCAAAATATGAAACAACTACTTGAGCGAAGTGATGAAATTAATAATGGTAATTTCTCCGAAATAGAAGGAATAAGAAAAGCGCGAGCCCTGTACAGAATTTGCATGGATACAGGTGAGAGAAAATTTAATAAAATCTTCTACTCTAACGCTTTTACAGTCTTTTGCTAAATAACCCTTTTACGGTAGATTCCATTTTATCAATTATTAAAAAGCTTTTAACAGTAAACGCGGGATCGTAAGTTTAGCATTAGAAAAAACATGACTGGGGGAAGCTAATGGCTTTGTTTGTTATTTTCGACTCATGAGACGACTTAACCAAAAATCAAACACTTTAAGCCAATTATTGTAGTGACCCTTGAATCCAAAGGGGTCGCCCCAATTGAACATATCCTCGAAGTGGTAGGATTATCTTCAACTCCCTCTGATAATTACGCTAACGAGGATTTTGATTGGCTATTCACAATTGCGAGGACAAGACGTTTATTAGGAATAAGTCTCTTGCTAGGAATGAACGTAGCCGAAGACGTGAGAAACTCATCAGCTAATAAAATTGTGGTTAGTATCGAAGAGATTTTTGTTTTAATTTTCGACCACCTTGTATTTTAGATTGAGCAAGTCTCTCCCGGATTCGGCGAGAGATATTTGCTGCAAGCAGAGAAGTTTTCAACAGAAATAAAGAACTATAAAAAGTACATCACGCAGATGCTTAGAGCGTATACGAACTTTACAGAGGCTGAGTATTTCGCTGAAGACATTGTAAACTTCAGTACGCAAATAGCAAAGGTAATTTAAACCGAACGTGAAAATTGAACAAAACTTTGAAAATTTTCCTGTGATTGATCTGGTTGGAAATGTGCATCAGGACTGCTATTATACGCTTTTATCTCAATAATAAATGAATTAATCACAATTACAATCGAATTAGTTTTTGTAACAAATACGCAATGCCTGACGACATACTACAACCGAATGCAAATTCACACGTCATATAAATCACATTGTACCGTGTATCGAAAAGTGGCTAAATTAACATTGGGTGTTTAGATTATGACCCCTTCGGAAACCAGGCGAAGCCCTAATCATCTTTTTCATGAAGTTAATCTAATTGAACTGGCGAATGGGCCAGGAATTGACAACGAGTCTTGGAGATTTGTAAGTGGGAAATCTCAACTTGGAAGATAGTTTGAATTTGTTCAAATCGGTTTAAGGTGAAGTGTTCACCTGTTTCGGTTTTGAATAAGTTATCAGACTAGAACTAGTTTGCAGTTCGAACTCAAGTACAAAGTAGTAATTTTATTGTTTTGATTTAAGGTAAATTGGACGCGATACCTAAACATTGTCTTCAACGACACAACCGTGTTGTTGAATCCTCACAAGGACACGGCGATTCTGCTCGATTTACCCTATTTGCAAAAATTATCAAATTTAATAAAAAACTCCGATAAAGTTGTTTTGGGTAAGTCGATAAATATTTTATTATTCAATTACTGTTTGAAATTTGGTTCCACGATTCTCTCTCTGATGGGAAAACGTAGCAGAGAAACTTTGTTATTTTGTATGAAATCTGGCGTGGAGACATTTATGAATGTTGTTTTGTCTGGAAAATGTGTGGTTTCCTTAAGGGATTCGTGTAATATGTGTAATTGTATTACTAGAGAGGTTCCTGTGGTGGAGCGTATTCTCAACAGTAGCCCCACTTACTTTAGCAAAGTTCCGATCGTTGGGATTTGAATTTTCTCAACAATTGTTGGGACTCCAGAGCAGAACTCCCAGATGGAAAGGATGTACCAGTAATGTTAACGCCAATTTTGGACTCGCGTTGAGTTATCTCTACGTCAAGTCCCATTTCGATAAAAATCATCGCGACAAGGTAAAATTTTTTCATGATTACAAGCAAACTCCTTGAAAAGCATCACAACCACCACATTTATTTTAAACTCAGGCTTTGGAAATGCTCGAGGACATAAGAAAAGCTTTCGAAGATACAGTCCATGAACTAGATTGGATGGATACAACCACACGTGAAAAGACGCTGACTAAACTGCACGCAATCAGGGCTTTTGTTGGGTACCCAGGATGGATTATGAACGCGACACAACTTGACAAACATTACAAACAAGTATGTGCTCTGACCGCTATTTCACACTTTCTTTGTTTACAAGAAAAAAACAATCGGAGCGAAAATCTACCGAAATTGAAACAACATTACTTTCAAAATGAAAACATTATTAAATTTAGAAATTAAAATTTAATAATAATAGTACTTTATTGACGGGAAACCCCTTTTACATAAAATAAATAACAATAATTCTAATAATATACTGTATTATTTTGTAGCGCATTTGCTTTGATCATTTATGATACTTGTTTTATCGCAATAAATTTAATATTTCCATGCACGCAAATGCGGTTTAATAACAGTATATTGTTATGTGGCTTTGTTCAATTATTTAATAAATATATAATTACTTTTGAGGTCGGTTTTGCTTAATTTTTATAATAATAGAATATACAAAGTGAATCAGTCTCTCAAGTTTGGGAATGCAATACCATGTAAAAAATTAAAGTCTATTACAATTTATTTCAGGCGCATGTAATCGAAGGCAATCTTTTCGAGACTTACTTGAATTTAACAAACGCGGCCGTTCGTAGAAACTTGGAAAGTATCCGAAAAAATCCTGATCGCAATCGGTAATGTTTTGCTCATTTTATTGTAAACATTACATTATGTTGTTTCAGATGGGTGGCTTCCGCCACAACCGTAAATGCATTTTATTCGGCGACGTTGAATTCTGTTAGTAAGTCTTTTTTATATTCCTAATAAAAACTATGGAATAAATCTGTAAAATAATTTCCAGCATTCCCAGCAGGTATACTAAAGCCTCCTTTTTACGGCAACGGGATCGAGTAAGTAAACATTAAAGCAATACCGTTTTCACTATCGCGAGTAACCTATAGAATATTCATTTGCATCGTAAACTAACTTAATAAACGATACGTGTTGCTTGTTTGCTTTATTTACATTATACAATCTGTTGCGAATTTTTTAAAATTGACTTTCTGGTTATTTCAGACATTAAAATGATTAAATCATAAATAGGGCCAAATATTTGTATAACAATTTCCAGAATCACATTATGCAAGTCACATAGGAATCTACTCTTGTATCTGTGAATGGTTAGACAGAGTTTACCACAAATAGCAAAGGGGGCGCAATGTGCCGTTCACCATTGTCAACTCCTCTATATTGACTTTTCATTAAATCGACATAAAGTCTAGACAAAAAATTATTAAATTAGCTTCTTAATTAAATTACCTCACACTCGAGTTCGCACCTAATATTTTTATAATCGACCAAAAAAGCACAAAATATTGACAGATTATTTGATTAAAATATGCTAAAACGTTCCATGATGGATTAGTATTGATTAAATTTAATCTTTTAGAGCTATCGACTACGGTGCTATTGGGGCTATTATGGGACATGAAATCACCCACGGATTTGATGATCAAGGTGGATCAGTTTCACTCGGTTTTATTTTGCTTTTCTAAATTTTTTGTTATTTTAGGCCGAAGATATGATGAACATGGAAATTTAAAACAGTGGTGGTCAGCTGCGACTCTCAACCATTACCACCAAAAAGTACAATGTATTATAAATCAGTACAATAATTACACTATGCCTGATTTAGGAGATGCGTTTCACGTAAGTAAGATGCACTGATTACGTTATAATTAATTTCTGAGTGGAGCAATAAAGTTAATTAATGGGTTAAGTAATAAACCAATTTTCCGAAATAATGTAGATATCAATTTAATTAATCGCGTTAGTAACTCAGCTGGTAACTTATCTCAATTAGTAGAATTATCACTTAGTAGGTGAAGTTTGTTTTTGATTTTTGAATTTCTGGTTACTTGCCGGAGGGGTGTTAAGCTCTGTGTGAATAATTAAGGAAAATTAGGCGAAAACGATTTTCCAGGTGCAAGGATACAACACGCAAGGAGAGAACATCGCGGATAATGGGGGCCTTCGCGCAGCCTTTGAAGGTTACAAACGACGCGAAGCGGTTTCAAATTCCATGCATCAACGGCTACCAGGACTTCCAGATGTTACAACCGATCAATTGTTTTTCCTCGGCTTTGCACAGGTTTGACAATTTAATAATTCTTTTCGTCTAAGCGTGGTTTTCCCAAAGGAACCCGAATCGGAAAATCTTGTCACGGTTTGCTATATTTTCTCAAAATATGATTGTGAATCAAAATGTAATTTCGCAAAATCTGTTTTCGTCGTCGTCGAACTTTAAAAATCGACGCAATTAACAGAAAACAATTTCTTGCGTTATAGATTTGGTGTGGGAATTCCACTTTAGGGGCCCTTAAGAGCAAGCTAGTGGATGGAGTGCACAGTCCGAATCGTATTCGGGTCCTCGGCACCCTTTCTAATTCACGGGACTTTGCCAAAGCTTGGGGTTGTCCGTCAGGAACGCCGATGAATCCAGTAAATAAATGTGTACTTTGGTAAATCACAAACCCTTTAATTATTACATTGTTCACGTCAATACATGGCCCGATCAAAATCAGATTTACTTCATTTTCATAAACCCGACGGATTACGGGCTTTAAAATTATTTACAACCAGTATTACTGAATAAGATGATTTTAATTGATTTTGTTACTTTGTTTTACTTTTGTTTTTATGTTTTATAGAATGCCAAATTGTGATATAACTTGTAGGCTAGATAGGGTTAAAATAATTGTAACTATTTGAAATAAACGTTACCACAAAATACTTGAGTTTTATTTAATTCGTGCTTAACAAGTTGCTTAATTAAATGATTGGGGAAAAAATAAATGGTTTGATTAAATTCTATTAAAAAAATTAAAGCTCATGTCGTGACGTGCTTCAGACATTAACGAGGCGTGTAATTAAAGAACAATTACAAAATTGCTTCAAAAAAACAAAACGACATCAACATTTTGGCTCATTTATAGACATGCTAACACGCGATGCGCCGACGCATCACCGGAAGTAGCGTTCTTCTTTCGATTTGGAGACTAAGGACAGTCCCTAGTCTCAATCCTAATAAATCACTTCAATTATATCTTCAATTAATAAACCAATTAACCTCATCTCATGTCTCTTCATTCCCTCTAATAAGAGAATAAAGTTTCAAAAACTGCGCGCCAGTTCAAAACTAGGTGTTTAATTTAATTTGAAATTGCTTTTGTGTGCTGAGACATAATGGTGCAAAGTAGAAAAATCGATGTGGTGTTCATATTCCTTCAGGATTTTATTTATGTTGTCATTAGTTGAGGTAAGGAAGAGCGTGTCTTGGTACGACTCTGAGACGATGAGACCACGCAAATAATATAATAACGTGATTGTGGCATGATATATGTTGGTTTCAGTCTTTCAGCAGTTTAAATCATAGCGCAATCTTGAAAATGCAACAGTGGAAAGTGCATCGTTACTTCCTCTGTGTTTCCTACATGCAGTTACCGGCAAAGTAGAACAAATTTTAAACGATATCTCACTTAATTGGTGAGTATTTTTCTTCTTGTACTCTAGAGACGAAAAAAACTAGCTTTACGTAATGATAGCGGGGAGCATCCAGGTGGTTTTATATGTTCATCGTAATTTCGTTTATCAGGGGATAACTTTAAATCCGGGTCACTAATGTCAGGGAATACCTAAACTCTTAGAACTTTGAGATACTTGCTCCTATTGCAAAAGCAGTTAGACCAGCGTTCCGTGTATTATTGTTCAACGTAAAACAGGTTTTATTTACGAATTGCAGTTACTACTCAGCCACATTGTCTTTAAATAAAATTAGTTTTCCATAAACTATGAATCCAATTATTAATATCATCTTAAATTTTCATAAAGTTCTGGTTATGAATTGGATGACTGGACCAGGGACGGACTGACAAATTTATTAATTAATAAATCACCATGGGCGCGCGCAGAAATTATTGTCAGGGGGAAGGGGGCTTAAGGGGGGCAGTTCATAATAAAAATAAATAGTAGTTTCTTAATTCGTTCATGAAAATTTAAGTTGGAACGAGTTTGTGAAAAATCAAATAAATCTTTTTTTATATAAAATAGCAACCACTATCGTCTCGGGGGTCCGGGGGTCCCCCCTATGGGCGCCCATGATTATTACATTCAGTTGAAATCATAACATGGTTTAATAAACGAAAATAAAGTTTTTTGATGAACGTCTTCAGAGGTTGCTTGTAATATAATTTTTTTCTTTTCGTTTCTGTCCACCAAGTTTATATACTTACCTATTTATATTTAGATTTTTCCATTAATTGTGCCCATATATAAATCTAATAAGTGGCACCCCGACACTCCTGGCCAGTCCGCCTCTGGACTGGACATGCTTTAAGTGAGGTATTTACAAGTTGGTATAGTGTCTACTTCTTATTCAATTTAATAAAAACTGTTCTATTTCTTCATAAAATTAGCACGAAACTTAAAAATAACTCGTCACAGTTAAATGATTAATTAGCTGACTATAACTGAAAGTGACAGAGTAATTACTTAGATTTTTTAATAGTTTTACTTGAGTAAAAATTCAAATCAATATTTTCCTGCTTCAAGATTTTTCCTTACTTCAACAATTATTTAATGACAGTTGTCTTTCATTTTTCCATTGTCGACAGATTCTGATTTCTTTGTACTAAAATCACAAAAGGTTCCCTCCCATCGTGACAACATAATTTATTAACGTAACGAAAGTCTATAGTTTAGGGAGATAAAAACTCCATTTATTTTAAAATCAAATTATCTAATAGGTGTTGAACATGCACAGTCCACCTAATCGACTAATTCTGCAATTTATTTTTTTTTGCTACAATTTTCCAATCACAGAATAAATAGTTAATTAAGTTTATTAAAATAGCTGGCACGATGGATCAACCACCGATTCAGGTCGACAACCGCATGACATTTCTTGGCAGCTTTGTTCAAAAAACTTTAAAACTAAAACCGGAAAAATGGTCAAGAATGATGGCTACAGAAGACCACAAAGCTGTAGTTATGAAATTTTTGGAACGTCCTCAACCCACTCTCCTAGTTGTGGTACTTACACCAACCGCTCAACTTGTTGCTTCAAATGGATTTCCCTTAGCGCAATTAAAAACCAAAGGCGTTTACTTTATTAAAAAAGCTCCAGTTCCTGTCTCAAAAACCACTCCCTCAGAATCTGTAATTGCAGGTGATTTGTCAGCAAAAATTATCGATCAGCTAGCATCACTAGTCGATGAGGTACTCCCATTACAACATTTAATGTTTTTTTAATAAATTTTCTAGATATTAGTTCCTCTTTTGTCCAATTCCAAAAACCACGAAAAGTGGCCACCAGTCATAGCAAAAGATGTGCAAAAACATGTCCACAGTTTAAAAAGTACGGTATACCAAGTCAAAGGTCACGTAAATGGCCAAACTGTTTTGCCAATGCCTGTTGGAATCGACAAAGTTCACGAAGTTGAAAAAGCTCTAATTGAAAGTAATGGCGAAATTTGCGATTTGTATCTCAAAAGTGCTATAGAAGGAGTTGTAATTAAATGGGCTGCTCAGATTAATGATGTTTTAGTAAATGATTCATCTGAAAAAGCAGGGCTTGGACCCAATCCCGTTCCGTCAGTTGGTAATTTAAAAAAATAAGTTTCCAGTGTTTACAAAAATTCTTGTAGAATTGCAATTTTGGAATTTGAGACTTCAAAATCTTCACTATATCTATGAACAGCTCAGAGAACCCCGTGTTAGAAGCATGGCCGTCATACTAGAAAAAACAAATAGTGCCTATTATAGTTGCTTCAAGAATTTGTTTAAAAATATTGTAATATCTTTAGCTGAGGCAAAAGATATATGTTTGTACCTGAAACCACTGAAAAAACATATTGCACTAGTTGAAGAAACCGATTTCAGTGAATGTATCCCCGTACTGGCGCCCCTTATGCACGTTGTTTGTCTTATTTGGTCAAATTCAAAATATTACGACCAAGTTAAAATAATTGTCCTTTTGAAGCAAATCTGCAATCTGCTGATTCAAGAGGTAAGTAAAAATGTGACAATTATAATTTTTCGGTCACCCCACACTAATTAATTTGTTTTTCTGTAAAACCGTTGATTCAATTAAAGCCGCTTAAATTAACATAAAAGAACGTAGCAACACGAGTTAATTTACATTGAAAAGTTCAAAGCATAAAATGTTAGAACGTTACTGTGGCTTAATCTGAGTGTAATTTCTAAATTAGCGTAATTTCCAGGCGAAAAAATGTCTGGACCCGACAACTCTTTTCCACAGCGATATTGATGAAGCCATGCAAAGGGTCAGTCTTTGTATAAAAACGTTAAAACAATTTTCGAAAATTTTTAACTCGTATAAAAATAATCTTGACCGATTTTTCAAAGAACGGGAACCGAAACTGTGGAATTTTCACCCCAACATGGTTTTTCAACGATTTAATGCTTTTTTAGAAAGGTTACAAACAATTCAATGGTTTTTTAATACAGTACTTGAATTCACTAAATTAGAAAAAGTTGAAATTGGAGGAATTAAGGGAAAAAATCTTAGTGCAAGAGTCACGGTTGTATTTGGAGAATTTCAGCAGTGTTTTTCCATATTTTCCGGAAAATCTTACGATGTACTTGATCCCGACGATTCTTCATTTATTTACGACTTTGAAAATTTTAAACAAAAAATTTTCGAAATGGACATGAAACTAGCAGCAATTTTTTGTCAAGCTTTTGAAGATTGTTCAAACTTAGAAAGCATATTTAAAGTGAGTTCTCTTGCAGCGTCTATTATACTTTGCTTATATCACATTTTAGTTAATTAGTATCGTCGGTTCTGTATTAGAAAGACCTCTGATTAAAACTGAATTTACCAATAAATATACAAAAATTTTAGATATGTTACAACAAGAAATAAATACAGCGGAGGCAAGTATAATCCAAAATTTGGCAGTGGAGTAAAAATACTTTTTATTGTGCTTATGCGATAATAAATAATCCACTGCTAAGCACAAACTACGACCATTATTACTTAGATATTGCATGTTAAATTGTAATGATTCCTACTGCAGGCACTGTTCCAAGAACAAATGTTGCATAAGGAGAAACATGGACAATTTATTTTAGACAAATATATGCCACCCGTAGCTGGAAGTTTACGTTGGACCCTTAATTTGTGTACACGACTTTCAAGTCCGTTAGAATCATTTAAAAGCCTTCAACATCCGTAATGATTATTAATTTTTGAAGCACTAATAAGTCAGTTTTTTAGAATAACTGAAAGTTCGGAAGCTGCAGAAATTTTAGAAAAATTTGCTAATTTATTTAAAAAAATTGATACCTTTAATGATCAGGTATTTAAAGAATGGGCAAGAGTTGTGCCCCAACAAATCGAAAGAAATCTTAAACTTTGTTTACTAAAAAGAAACCCCAAAACGAAAGAGTTGCACTTAAATTTTAATTCAGAAGTAAGTGATGCTTACCTGGAAATAGACAAAGCATTTTTTCTCACTTCCAGCTATCGGCGATTCTCAGAGAAATTCATTATTTAAAATTAATGGGACACGAGGATTTGCCTGAAATAGCTATAAAGCTGGCAGAAAGAAATGATGTTTTTAGAAAATACATATCCAATTTAAACTCAACAATCGCTTGGTATAATAAAATCCGTCGAACAACTAAAGATGTTGAATTTAATTTAATCGAAAATGAAATTGCAGAAATCGATGAGTTAATTATTCAAGGACAAAACACTCTCAATTGGAACTCAGAAGGTACATATATTATCTTGTATCTTTATGTGAATTAAGATATTTTTTTATAATTAGGCTTATGGGAATACATGACAAAATTGTACAATCTCGTTGGAAATTTACAACAGAATTTACAAAAATGTCAAGAGAACCTCAATCAAATAAAAAACGTTTTAATGCCATTTGCCCGCCAACCTTTATTCGAGAGAAAAGAAGGAAAGAAATATACAGTTTTGTGCATTGAGGAAAGAGAAGAAAAAATAGCGAAGCGATATTCCGATATCAAGAAAGCAGCAGATCAGATTACGGTTTTATTACTAGAAAACATGCAATTCTTTCAAATGACTGAGAAACAGGACAGCCCTAAATGGCTCAGTTACATTGACTTTGTAGATAAAATTGTTATGAGCTATTTATACCAATGCGTAGGTTGCAGGTAATTAAAGTTTAATCAATACCAAAAATAAATAAATAAAATTATTAATTATTCTAGTTTGGGCTACATTAACGAACACATGGACCCAACTAACAACCTCGCCCCGCTCTTTGAAGCCCAATTAATTCTAAAAGAGCCTAATATAATTTTTGTACCATCTCTCGATGCTAATGCTGATGATGGTTTCAAAAAACTCATAACAGGTTTAATCGACGATATTACTAAAATTTCTTCAATTGTACCAAGATTCTCAAAGACTATCCAAACCTCATACCAGGAAGAAATAGTTTCAAATCAAGATATTTCCGATATTAAAGATGATATCCTTCAAAATGTTGACCAAGTCATCGAGGAGGCTTACGAATTTTGTGATAAATTCCAAACCTATTCTTACATTTGGCTCGATGACCGGAAGATCTACTTGGAGCATTTTTTGACCTATAGTAGACAATTAACAGGTGAAGAAATTGACTGGGTGCATCTCAAAGACTCAGCAGCGCCAAAACCAAACCCACCAAAAATGGAGCAATTCCGCGAACAAATTGACATTTTTGAAAATCTGTACAACGAAGTTGAAAGAATGCAAACTGAACATACATTTAATTCCTGGTTTAAAGTCGATGTCAAACCTTTCAAACAAGCCTTACTTAATACAATTCGAAAATGGGGCAATATGTTCAAGGACCACCTTGTAGACACTGTCACTAATAGTTTGACCGATTTAGGACAATTTATAAGAAAAGCGGATGAAGGCTTGCAACAAACTGTCGTAGAGGGTGATTACCAAGCCTTGGTCAACGTCATGGGATATTTACTTCATGTCAAAGAACGTCAAGCTACCACCGACGAAATGTTTGGGCCACTACGTGAAACAATCGAGCTGCTGAAATTCTACGATCAGGACATCCCCGAAGAAGTTAACGTGTATCTTCAAGAACTGCCCGAACAATGGAACAACACCAAAAAAATTGCAATTACAGTCAAACAACAAGTCGCACCATTACAAGCAGCTGAAGTTGTTTTGATTCGAAAGAAAATTGCAGAATTTGATACGCGAGTCCTTTATTATCGCGAAGTTTTCAAAAAATATCCCTTCTTCCAGTATAACTGTCCTGAGCCGTATATTGTGTTAGACAAGGTTGATAAAGATTTGCGAAAGTTTGAAACTGAAATGAAAAATATTCACGAATCGGGATCACTGTTTGAAGTAAATGTTCCCGATTTTAAAGTATTGAAACAATGTCGCAAAGATTTGAAAATGTTGAAAGTGAGTCATAAAACTTGCTGTTGCATTTTTCTAATTCGAATTGTAGCAATTGTGGGATTATGTCCACATTGTGCATACTTGTGTCGATGATTGGAAAACAACACCTTGGAGAAAAATTGATGTTGAAAATATGGACATTGAGTGTAAAAAGTTTGCAAAAGAAATAAGAATGTTAGATAAAGAAATGAGGGCTTGGAACACATATTTAGGGCTAGAAGCGACCGTCAAAAATACATTAACGTCATTGAAAGCCGTTGGTGAATTACAAAATCCGGCTATTAGGGAAAGACACTGGAATCAATTAATGAAATCTACTAAGGTACATATAGTCACAATTTTAGTTTGTACATATGTATATAGCTACAACATCATTGTACATAGCATTACATTCTTTCCGCAATCTGTTACAGAATTTAGCAGCCTTACCTCCAGAATTCACGGTAAGTATTGCTACTTTGCTATTTTTTCTAGAAAGCCCTGGTAAAAGTAAGTCTCAGTTTTGTCCAGTAGTATTATAGCACTGAATATAAAACCTTATCAAACTCCTCTTGACGTATAAAATTATTCTAGACCAAAATCGTGATGGACTACAATACGACTTTGGCCGACTTGCTCGAGCTAAATCTACACGAGTGTGAGGAAGAAGTTAAAAATATTGTCGATAAAGCAGTTAAGGAAATGTCAATGGAAAAAATTTTACGCGAATTAAACGTCACTTGGTCTGCCATGGAATTCGAACACGAAATACACCCCAGAACTGGTTGCAAACTACTGCGAGCAAGCGAAGAGTTGATAGAGACACTAGAAGACAATCAAGTCCAATTACAAAATTTGATCACTTCGAAATTTATTGCACACTTTTTGGAAGAAGTTTCCAGTTGGCAAAGCAAATTATGTCTAGCTGATCAAGTGATAACAATTTGGTTTGAAGTCCAAAGGACTTGGATGCACCTAGAATCGATTTTTATGAGTTCGGAGGACATTAGAAAGCAATTACCGGAAGATTCGGCTCGGTTTGATCAAATTGATACCGACTTTAAAAAACTGACTGCAGAAATGTCAAAAATACCAAATGTGGTGGAATCTACGAATAAGTCTGGTCTGCTTGCTATTTTAGAGGAGATACAAAAGAATCTAACTTTGTGCGAAAAGGCTTTAGCTGTGTATTTAGAAACAAAAAGATTGTCATTTCCGCGATTTTACTTTATTTCATCAGCGGATTTACTTGATATTTTATCGAATGGAAATCAGCCCGAACTGGTGGCTAAACATTTAACTAAATTATTCGATTCTTTGGCAAGATTGAATTTTGGCCGAGACGAAGAAGGAAATTTGAATAAACTTATTCACGGGATGCACGCCAAAGATGGGGAATATATTGATTTCAATGAAACAACGAATTGTAACGATGCGGTAATTTTATATAATTTTTGGATTGTCGATTTACACTGGTTTTAAGGTTGAAGTGTGGTTAAATCGCATTCAAGCTTCAATGCGATCAACAATCCGTCATTTAATCGGTGAAGGGGTTCTATCTTATGAAGATAAGCCACGTGACCAGTGGTTGTTTGACTTTCCGGCTCAAGCCTCGCTTTGTGGTACCCAAATTTGGTGGACCACTGAAGTAAATATAGCTTTTTCTCGTTTGGAGGAAGGTTACGATAATGCAATTCGCGACTATTATAAAAAACAAGTGTCACAACTAAGCACTTTGATTTCGTTGTTGTTGGGCGACTTGACGAAACAAGATCGTCAAAAAATCATGACGATTTGCACAATTGATGTTCATTCTCGTGATGTTGTGAGTAAGTTGATTCAAATGAAGGTGGAAAGTGCATCGGCTTTCCAATGGGTGTCTCAATTGAGACATCGGTGGGACGAGAAAGATAAACATTGTTTTGCTAATATTTGTGATGCCCAGTTTAGGTACAGTTATGAATATTTGGGTAATACTCCCCGACTTGTGATAACACCCTTAACTGACCGATGTTACATCACTTTAACTCAGGTAAGGGTTGATTATTGAACTTAATTACGTTAAGTAAATTCAGTCTTTGCATTTAATAATGGGTGGAGGGCCCGCAGGCCCGGCTGGAACGGGAAAAACCGAAACGACAAAGGATTTGGGACGAGCACTTGGCATAATGGTTTACGTATTCAACTGCTCCGAACAAATGGATTATAAAGTATATAATATATAATGTTGATTTTTAATAATAGAAACTAGTATTTGTCTGTAGTCCTGTGGAAATATTTACAAAGGACTCGCGCAGACGGGGGCTTGGGGATGTTTTGATGAGTTCAATAGGATTTCAGTGGAGGTCCTTTCGGTTGTTGCGGTCCAAGTAAAGTCAGTTTTAGATGCAATTAAAAATAAAAGAACACAATTCGATTTTATGGGGGATCCCATCGCGCTAGTGCCCACTGTGGGTATTTTTATAACTATGAATCCTGGCTATGCTGGCAGAACTGAGTTACCAGAAAACTTGAAAGCACTTTTTAGGTAGGTATAATTATTTAAAATCAATACGATCAAATATTTTTCGGTTATTTCAGACCGTGTGCTATGGTCGTGCCAGATTTTGAGCTCATATGTGAAATAATGTTAGTTGCTGAAGGGTTCCAAGAGGCAAAAATTCTAGCCAGAAAATTTATAACTCTATACACTCTGTGCAAAGAATTGTTATCAAAACAAGATCATTATGATTGGGGATTACGAGCAATAAAATCCGTTTTAGTAGTAGCGGGATCCTTAAAAGTATAATAAATTATCTCTTGATAAGTAAAATTGACTTACAAATTTTGTCAGAGAGGTGACCCTGGAAGACCCGAAGAGGAAGTTTTAATGAGAGCTCTGCGCGATTTTAATATACCTAAAATAGTAACAGACGATACGCCTGTTTTTATGGGACTGATTGGTGATTTATTTCCGGCTTTAGAAGTGCCTAGAAAACGAGATGCTGAGTTTGAACGTACTGTTAAACAGGCTGCTATTGATTTAAAATTACAACCCGAAGACAATTTCATATTGAAAGTAAGTTTGGTACATTTACATTTAAAAATAAACCTCATTTAAACTTCGACTAATCAATTTTCAATTAAACTTGGGATATTGGCAAATAGCGGAAGAAAATTGCAAGACTAATTTTCCGAACTAAATTGAATGCTTAGAATTATACTAAAAAAATCAACTAAAATTTTAACTTCAGGTTGTTCAACTAGAGGAATTGTTAGAAGTTCGGCATTCGGTTTTTATCGTTGGCAATGCGGGTACTGGAAAAACTCAAGTGTGGAAAACATTATTTAAAACTTACATAAATATAAAAAGGAAACCGGTTTACAACGATCTCAACCCGAAAGCGGTAACAAACGATGAACTTTTCGGTATCATAAATCCGGCAACTAGAGAATGGAAAGATGGTTTATTATCTGTTTTAATGAGGGAACAAGCTAATTTGAGTGGCGATAATCCAAAATGGATTGTTTTGGACGGTGACATAGATCCGATGTGGATTGAGTCTCTTAACACTGTCATGGATGATAACAAAGTACTCACTTTGGCCAGTAACGAGAGAATCGCATTAACACCAGGAATGAGACTATTATTTGAGATATCTAACTTGAGAACTGCAACGCCTGCCACAGTTTCCCGTGCAGGAATTCTTTATATTAACCCTCAAGATCTCGGATGGAATCCGTTAGTACATTCAACGCTTTAATTATCATTCTATTAAAAATAATTCCTAGATTTGTAACAAGCTGGATCGAAACAAGAACAAACGGAACGGAAAAATCCAATTTAATTATGCTTTTTGACAAGTATATTCCCATTTGTTTAGAAAATGTTCGCACTCGCTTCAAGAAAATTACTCCAGTTGCGGAAACATCACACATTGAAATGTTATGCCACCTCTTGGAATGCCTACTCACACCTAATAACACACCAAATGAGTGTCCTAAAGAATGGTACGAGCTCTACTTCGTCTTCTGCTGCGTCTGGGCTTTCGGATCTGCCATGTTCCAAGAACAGGTCAGAAAATTAACACCTTAGACAATACTAGATAGTATTTAAAAATACATTTTTAAACAATTAAATAATCTATTAGATGCAAAAACAAAAAAATTGTTTTCTATTTAAGTTTTTTAACAATATGATTGAAATTCACTACAAAAATATTGCAGGTCTAAAGATTGCACTTTCTTCTTTAAAGCAGTAAAAAACTTCTTTTGAATCTTAGTTTATGTGTAATAAGTTAAATTTAATTAATGAAAACTAATCAAAAATTACCAATAAAAGTTTAGCTTAAAACAATATTAACAGCTACATATCTAGTAGCTATTAAGACAACAAAAGTTTAATAGACAGTTTAAATTCGGGCAACCGTGTTTAAGATTTTTTGCAGACTAATATTAAATCAGAAATTGTACTAAATTCAGAAATCATTTTTAAAAAGTATGTCAAAATAATATCAAAATCGACAAAAAATATGCATCAGCGTATTTTATAGACTCATAAGATACGTTGCTATTGACGACGTACTTTATAGATGAAGCGTATTTTAACGGCAACATAAGAGGTAACCATAGAAACAGTATAAGGTATTAGTGTTGCAAATTGCATATTAGTGTTACATTTACAAATTACTCATCTTTACCCATTTACCTTTTGTTTAATTACTTACGTTGTATTCTGAGATTCTTTAATTTTAATAACATTTCTACACTGTGTTTTTTACGGTTTTCTAACTTTTTCACTCTCATTTGGAGATTTTTGTGTCTCATTGTCAGTTTGTGTTTCTCTGTAGGCGACTGATTATCGTGTGGAGTTTACAAAATGGTGGGTGAATGAGTTTAAGAGCGTAAAATTTCCGAGTGGCGGTACCGTATTTGATTATTACATCGATTCTGAATCGAAGCAGTTTGTGCCTTGGACAGAAAGTCTGGGACGTTTCGAGCTCGATCCCGATGTTCCCCTGCAGGTAATTGAATTGTAGTGTTTTCTGTGCTCGACATTTATTTTCAGGCCGTATTGGTCCACACGGCCGAATCAATTCGTATTCGATATTTCTTGGATTTGTTGATGGCCAAACGTCGACCGGTTATGTTAGTAGGAAACGCAGGTTGCGGAAAGACTGTGCTCGTCAGCGAGAAATTGGTATCATTATCCGAAAACTATGCGGTCACCAACGTGCCTTTCAACTTTTACACAACATCGGAGATGCTGCAAAAGATTCTCGAGAAACCGTTAGAGAAAAAAGCGGGACGGAATTACGGACCTCCCGGTAATAAAACTCTTGTTTACTTCATCGATGATATGAATATGCCAGAAGTCGATGCCTATGGCACGGTGCAACCTCACACCTTGATCAGACAGCATCTGGATTATGGTCACTGGTATGACAGGAACCGGCTCTCGCTTAAAGACATACATAATTGTCAATACGTGTCCTGTATGAACCCCACAGCCGGAAGTTTCACCATCAACCCACGCCTGCAAAGACACTTTTACGTATTTGCAATTAGTTTCCCAGGAAGTGAAGCCTTGTCAACAATTTATCATGCAATTTTAAGTCAACATCTTTCAAATATTGAACACAAATTTCCTTCCGTCGTTGTTAAGCTCGGAGACAATGTTGTATCAGCTGCTGTCGCTCTACATCACAAAGCTTCCCAAATATTTCTCCCTACAGCGATAAAATTCCACTATATCTTTAATTTGCGTGACATATCTAACGTCTTTCAGGTATAATTACTTTGATTCCGGACTAACTTTATTTCGTTGTAATTCATTTCAGGGGCTACTCTTCAGCACAAACGACTGTTTGAATCAACCCACTGATTTAGTTAGGCTTTGGTTGCATGAAAGTCAAAGAGTTTACGGCGACAAACTAATCGAAGAAAAGGATATTGACGCTTTTAGCAAATTACAATTAGATCTTTTTAAAAAGAATTTCGAGGTAACCTTCTTTTGTCTTTCTCCTGTCGTCAGATAATGCGATTAAAATGGTTTTCTTTTGTTCAAAAATTTCAATTAAAAAAATCAAAGATATATTTCTATGGGTAAACAAATCAAACGAAGTCAGTGAAGTAACTTAAAAATAATGTCGTCACGATCCTAGTTACGATCAGTAAAAGTATTTTATTGCCAATAATCACGACATTTCGTAGCTCAAATGAATATTTTTTCTTTTGCTCATTTAAGGAAGATTCTGTGGGCGTGTCATAGTTTTTTACTCCCCCGATGAATTAATTTTCAGTTTTGTAGGAAATTGATGAGTCAATTGTTTTTGAAAGACCAAACATTTATTGTCATTTTGCTAGTGGAATCGGCGAGCCTAAATATATGCCCATAACAAAATGGGAAACTCTTAGTAAACTGCTGACAGAAGCAATGTCAAGTTATAATGATTTGGTGGCTGCTATGAATTTGGTATTGTTTGAAGATGCGATGATGCATGTGTGTCGGTGAGTTTTTAATTGATAAAGTAGCACGTTTTTCATGTCACGTACAGAGTAATTGAATCGCTGTAAAATAATTGTCAATTAATAATGAAAACGTGAACCGTAGTTAAGCCACGTGATATTCTAATTACTGTAACAGCTTTAGCAAAAGAGAATTTTGTTTCATATGTGGTTATTGTATTATCGAATTTGGGATTCAGAATGAAATATTTTGTAGAATAAATCGAATATTAGAATCTCCTCGAGGAAGTGCGTTATTAGTGGGGGTTGGTGGTAGCGGAAAGCAGTCTTTGTCTAGATTGGCTGCTTTCATTTCATCGTTAGAAGTGTCACAAATTCAGCTAAAGAAAGGTTACGGAGTTCCCGATCTACGAAATGAGTTATCATCCCTTTATCTGAAAACGGGCCTGAAAAATGTTGGAATAATGTTTCTTATGACAGATGCTCAAGTTCCTAATGAACAATTCCTGGTCCTTATTAATGACATGCTGGCTTCAGGAGAAGTGCCCGATATGTTCCCTGACGATGAAATTGAAAATATTATAGCAGGTGTCCGTAATGAAGTAAAAGGAGCCGGCATGTTAGACACTAGAGAGAATTGTTGGAAATTCTTTATTGATCGTGTAAGAAGACAGTTAAAAGTTGTACTATGTTTCTCACCTGTTGGTTCAACGTTACGCGTTAGATCAAGAAAGTTCCCCGCTATAATTAACTGCACACAAATTAATTGGTTCCACGAATGGCCTCAAGAAGCTCTAGTTTCAGTCTCTCTACGATTTTTACAAGAGCTGAAAGCTTTACCGGTTATATTGCAACTCCTTTCTAACCCTGTAATTAATTGCAATTGATTTATAGGCATCTCTACTTGATTCTGTATCCAGATTTATGGCATACGCCCACACTTCCGTTAACGCAATGTCCAAATTATATCTCCAAAACGAAAGACGGTATAACTACACCACCCCGAAGTCATATCTAGAACAAATCAATCTCTACTCCAAACTCCTCATAAAAAAAAACAATGAACTCCAGTGCAAAATTGAACGCCTGGAAAATGGATTAGATAAACTGAAAAGTACAGCTGTACAAGTTGATGAGTTAAAAAAGAAACTCGCGATTCAAGAAGTTGAACTTAAAGAAAAGAACGAAGCAGCTGATGCTCTCATCGAAATTGTAGGTATTGAAACCGAAAAAGTTTCAATCGAGAAAAAACTCGCAGACGAAGAAGAAGAAAAAGTCGCAATGATTGCAGAAGAAGTAAGCAAAAAGCAGAAAGACTGCGAAGAAGATTTGCTTAAAGCCGAGCCAGCATTAATTGCCGCTCAAGAGGCCCTCAATACACTGAACAAAGCGAATCTCACCGAGTTGAAATCGTTTGGGTCGCCACCGGGGGCAGTGACAAATGTCACTGCTGCAGTTATGGTTCTTTTAGCGCCAGCAGCAAAAATACCTAAAGACAGAAGTTGGAAAGCCGCCAAAGTAATGTAATTCGATTTATTTTCATTTATTACAATGTCATAGTTTTAGATCGTGATGGCTAAAGTCGACGCGTTTCTTGATTCATTAATTAATTACGACAAAGAGAATATCCATCCTGAAATTATTAAAGCTATAGAACCTTATTTGAAAGATGCTGAATTCGAACCTGAATTCGTTAGATCGAAATCAGCTGCAGCGGCAGGTCTTTGTGCTTGGGTTATTAATATTATTAAATTCTACGAAGTTTATTGTGACGTTGAACCGAAACGGAAAGCTTTAGCGGCGGCTAATGCAGAATTAGCAGCGGCACAAGAGAAATTAAGCGGAATTAAGAAAAAAGTTGCTGTAAGTTCCAAACTTCGTTATTACAAATGATAAAACACAACATTCCTAGTCTTTGGAAGAACAATTGGCAAAATTAACAGCCGATTTTGAAAAAGCTACAACTGAAAAATTATTATGTCAACAAGAAGCTGATGCCACCAATGCCACTATACAACTAGCTAATAGACTTGTCGGAGGTCTGGCTAGTGAAAATGTTAGATGGGCTGAAGCAGTTAACAAGTAATTTTTGAAGATGAATCAATAAAACACAATAATTTTTTATTTCTGTTTAGCTTTATGGAGCAAGGGACAATGTTACCGGGTGATGTACTGTTAGTTACAGCTTTCATCTCATATGTTGGTTGTTTTACAAAACAGTATCGGTTGGATTTATTGCATAAAATGTGGCTGCAATTCTTAAAAACACTAGATGTAGGATAAAGGAAAATAAAGTAGATAAGTTTTTTATTTTGCTCAATTTCAGCCTCCGATTCCGATTACTGAAAATCTCGATCCTTTGTCATTATTGACTGATGATACACAAATAGCGAAATGGCATAATGAAGGTTTACCCAGTGATCGAATGTCGACAGAAAATGCGACAATTCTTTCGAACTCTGATCGATGGCCTCTAATGATTGACCCTCAAGTGAGCTCAATACGCTTTTATTAGAAATATTTGTCGTTTTGTTATTTCAGTTGCAAGGGATAAAATGGATAAAGCAGAAATATGGTGACGACCTAAAAGTAATTCGTTTGGGCCAAAAAGGGTATCTGGATGTAATTGAAAAATCAATTACTTCAGGAGCAACAGTTTTAGTAGAAAATATTGAAGAGAGCGTCGATCCGGTATTGGACACTTTACTTGGTCGAAATTTAATTAAAAAGGGCCGGTACGAAGTTTGTTGAAATTGGAAATAACATAAAAAACTCTCATTGTAGAGCAATCAAAATTGGCGATAAAGAGATCGAGTATAATTCCCTCTTCCGACTAATCCTTCAAACAAAACTGGCAAATCCACATTATAAGCCCGAAATGCAAGCACAAGCAACTCTTATTAATTTCACAGTCACCAGGGACGGCTTAGAAGACCAGCTCCTTGCTGAAGTTGTTAAGGCTGAAAGACCCGACTTGGAGGACTTAAAGGTAAGTTTACATAAACAAGGTGTTAAAACTTTCTCACTCGGCAGCTAATTAAATCATACTTGTTGTAATCACCCATAAAAAAATGCGTTTCAGGCTGAATTAACCAAGCAACAAAATGACTTCAAAATCATGCTGAAGACATTAGAAGACGATCTTTTGTCTCGTTTGTCCTCAGCGGGCGGGAATTTATTAGGCGATACAACGCTCGTGGAGAATTTAGAAACCACAAAACGAACAGCAGCTGAAATAGAGCAAAAAGTTTCAGAAGCCAAAGTAACTTCAATTCAAATTGATCAAGCAAGAGAACATTATAGGCCAGCAGCTGCTCGAGCAAGTTTGCTTTATTTCATTTTGAATGAGTTAAACACCATTAACCCAATTTATCAATTTTCTTTGAAAGTAAAATTTCTCCAAGAAAATTTCGAAATTGTTTATTTACTAATTTCCAGGCCTTCAGTGTGGTTTTTCAAAAAGCTATAGCCAAAGCAGATCCAGCTGAATCCGTCACCGCTCGAGTAAATAATTTAATTGAGTGCATTTCCTTCTCTGTATTTCAGTACACGACTAGAGGACTCTTTGAATGTGATAAATTAATTTTTGCTTCACAAATGGCATTCCAGGTAAATCAAAATTCAACTGACAATTTTCAACATTTTTACAAGAACAAATTGTCTGTCATTCAGTAAAAATACATGATTGATTTTCATTTAAAGATCCTTTTAATGAGCGAAGAGATAATGGCTGCTGACTTGGATTTTCTTTTGCGATTTCCGATAAAACCGCACGTCACTAGTCCCGTTGATTTTTTATCGAACACTAGCTGGGGTGGTATATGTAGTCTGGCAACAAAAGATGAGTTCAGAAACTTAGACAGGGACATAGAAAATTCACCCAAACGATGGAAGAAACTTGTTGAATCGGAATGTCCAGAGCGGGAAAAGTTTCCTCAAGAATGGAAAAGCAAAACCGCACTACAGAGACTTTGCATGATGCGAGCTCTTAGACCCGATCGAATGATATATGCCATGATGTAAGTGTACGTTCAAACTCACAAAACGACCCTTGCAACGATTTATCTGATTTTTTAAATTGTTGCAGGGCGTTTATTGAGGAAAAACTGGGGTCAAAGTACGTGGAGAACAAGACGGTGGAGTTCGCGAAATCATTCGAAGAAACAAGTCCATCGACACCGATTTTTTTTATTTTATCACCGGGCGTTAATCCCTTGAAAGATGTGGAGGATTTAGGCGAAAAACTGGGCTTTACATCAGATAAACAAAATTTTCACAATGTATCTTTGGGTCAAGGACAGGAAGTGGTGGCCGAGAAAGCGATGGAAATCGCGGCTTTGCACGGCCATTGGGTGGTGTTACAAAACATCCATTTGGTGAAAAAATGGCTACCTTTGCTTGAAAAAAATCTAGAGCGTTTCGCGGACGGCTCTCACAGCAATTATCGGGTTTTTATGAGTGCCGAACCCGCCGCAACTCCCGCCGCTCACATTATTCCCCAAGTAAAAAAATCTATAAATAAAAATCCGGATTGAAACTTTTAGGAAACTATTGTAGGGAATTTTGGAGTCGTCAATAAAAATAACGAACGAGCCTCCGACGGGAATGCAGGCGAATTTACACAAAGCTTTATCGAATTTTAATCAAGAGACGTTAGAGCAGTGTGGGAAGGAAGCCGAGTTTAAAGTCATACTGTTTTCTTTATGTTATTTTCACGCGGTTGTCGCTGAACGCAGGAAATTCGGACCCCAAGGATGGAATAAAGTCTACCCCTTTAACGTGGGAGATTTAACCATTAGCGTATTTGTGCTCTACAACTATTTAGAGGCAAACTCGAAAGTCCCATGGGAAGATTTAAGGTATTTGTTTGGCGAAATTATGTACGGGGGACACATTACAGACGACTGGGACAGAAGATTATGTAACACTTATTTAGAAGAACTTTTACAACCCGATTTGGTAATTCCCACTTTAAATCTACTCACTTTTCTAACACCTCTATCACTGCGACGAGACGAACTCAACTCGATAACATTAAATGTTTCAGGTCGACGGTGAATTAATGTTGGCACCGGGATTCCCCGCACCGCCCAATACCGACTATGTCGGATACCACAATTATATTGACGAAATGATGCCTCCAGAGTCACCCTACTTATACGGACTACATCCTAATGCCGAAATAGGCTTTTTGACGACCACAGCTGACAACCTTTTCAGAACTGTCTTTGAAATGCAACCCAGAGATGCCGGCACGTCTGGAGGAACCACAATTACCAGAGAAGATAAAGTAAGGACATAACGAACCACAATTCAAACTTCTTGCGAACTGTTTCACATTAAACAAATCTGATATTTCAAATAAAAAATATATCGCAATTCCCTCAGAAATATTTAAGTAAGTAACGGATAAAAATTTTAGTTAGTATAATGGATTTCAGAATCACATTTCAAATAGAATCATAAATAAATTACTTTCAGTTAAAAATAACAAGACCAAAATAAATTTGTTTAATATAAAATAAACACTTCCCGGCCACAAAAATAGAAAAGTTTTACTAAAACATTAATAAAATTTAAATTCTAACCGTAGGAAATATTTGATGAAAAATTTTTAATTACATAATTCATTTTGTTACCATTTTATTAAAGTCTGTTTAGCAGTTTGCAACAAAAAATGTAAATAATAAATGTGCATGACTTCTTTTTTTGTAAAGATCCGTGACTTATGAACTTAAGTGGTGATAAATGACTTTAGGTGAAGCAAATAGTGGACGAAATGATCGAAAAGCTTCCCGAGGATTTCAATATGACCGAAATAATGGGGAAAGTTGAAGAGCGCACTCCTTATGTGATTGTGGCATTTCAAGAGTGTGAAAGAATGAATTACCTAACCGGAGAAATTAAGCGTTCTTTGAAAGAACTCGACTTGGGATTAAAAGGGGAACTTACAATAACTTCAGATATGGAAGATCTTGAAAACGCATTATTTTTAGATCAAGTGCCTCCAGTCTGGAGTAAAAGAGCTTACCCGTCGCTGCTCGGCCTGACATCTTGGTTTGTTGACTTATTATTAAGAATTCGAGAACTGGAAACTTGGTCTACCGACTTCGTGGTAAGTACTATTCAGCAATTAATAAAACAAACAATAAATTAAACAATTTTCATTTAGTTGCCAGCCTCAGTGTGGTTGGGTGGATTTTTCAACCCTCAATCTTTACTCACGGCTATTATGCAAAGCACAGCTCGGAGAAATGAACTACCATTAGATAAGATGTGTCTACAGTGTGATGTCACGAAAAAACAAAAAGAAGAATTTACGTAAGGGTAGCACGAAGCACAATCACGAAATCATAAAATAAATTTATAGGAGCGCTCCGAGGGAAGGTGCTTACGTCCATGGACTACATATGGAAGGCGCCAGATGGGATGTGCAAGCTGGAATTATAATGGATTCGAAATTAAAAGAGTTATTCCCCTCCATGCCAGTAATAAATATCAGAGCTATAACTCAAGACAAACAAGATTTGAGAAACATGTACGAATGTCCCGTATATAAAACAAGAACAAGAGGGCCCACATATGTCTGGACCTTTAACTTGAAAACTAAGGATAAGCCGGCTAAGTGGACGTTGGCGGGCGTTGCCCTCTTACTTCAAACATAACTCAAACACTCAATTATAATTGTTTAAGAAAATAAATCATACACTCGTTTACCATTGTTATGTGCTCTGGAAAACAATTTCAACATTTCTCCTATTTTTCTGATTTTACAAGGTACATTTCTGTTTGCAGTTTTAGGAAAAAAAGAACGATTGATAAGAAAATTATAAATAATAAAACTTGTCAAAATTGTGAGCCAATTAAAAAGCAAGACCTTTAACAAAAAAATTATAATTATGTATTCAGATATGAGTACAGTTGACGCCGTTGGCTGTTCATACGCAGAAAATTCAACATTTTCCATGGCGTTACATAATCAGTTGCTTTTACTGAGACAGTTGACAAAATCTCCAATTACGATGAAATTGTAACTTTCCATTAATCGATTTAAAAAAGCGAAGTAAAATTTAATGCACGACTAAAGTAATTCGATTTCTGTTGTCAGTTATTTTACATTGCGAAATCGCAAATTAAAATTTGATTGCAATTAAAAATGCTCTGTAAATCGCCGCACAAGCTACTTTTTGTTCAAAATGAAAATGTGAAATTTCTTTAAAATAAAAATGTGTTTGAGGCTACGCTACTGTTTCGCCAACTTATACCGCGTCAACTGTAAAAAACTATATCTCCTAAAATAAAAAGTTGTAAATTAAATAGATTAGTGAACTAAAAACAGATGAAGTGAAAGCATTTAAATACCTGCTGGTAGTGCTAATGAACGTGATAATCTATAATAATAATAAAAGGAATAAAAAGCACAATCACAAACTTTGAAATAAAAATAAAGAAAACCATTTTAACTTGAATTGTTGGCGCCATCTCTTAAACATCTCATCAAGTAATACGGTAAAACATTCCATTACTACATTTTTAATACACCAAAAAAGAAGCACTTAAAACAAGTAGTCTACGAATCTAAAAACCGAAATATGGTCAAAAATTATTTTGTAGTTTTTACAATGCAAATTTTGGTTTCGAACGTACAGACATTCTTGTCTATAAACTTTATTGCGCACATTTTAATCTTCTCCCCTCCAATTCGATAACGCTAAGTTGATTGGTCAGTTGCATAAAAACTTTGGAAGTGGAAGAAGAGGTCAAATTTGACATAACCATTTTGAACCGCTTTACAAGTTTTTTAAAGTTAAAAACCATGGCACCGTACAAAATTGTGATGGTTCGTCATGGCGAATCAGAATGGAACGAAAAAAATCTGTTTTGTGGGTGGTATGATGCAAATCTGAGCGAAAAAGGTAAGAAATTAGAGGAGAATCCTCACGTCCTTGAATGACCTTGCCGACATAACCCTAAAAATTCTGCTTCTTTTAAAAATCAGGCAAACAAGAAGCTGTCAGCGCCGGAAAAGCCCTAAAAGACGCCGGTTATAAATTCGACATTGCCTACACATCAGTATTGACAAGAGCCCAAAATACTCTTCAAGCAATTTTGAAGGAAATAGGGCAAACGGACCTCCCGGTGGTGAAGACCTGGCGGCTCAATGAACGCCATTATGGGGGTCTCACTGGGTTAAATAAGGCTGAAACGGCTGCCAAGTATGGTGATGAACAGGTAGATGTGGTAGATAAAGTTACAAGATATTTTTTATTAATGGCTTATTCCAGGTCGCTATTTGGCGGCGCAGCTTCGATGTTCCGCCCCCACCCATGGAACCCGACCACCCTTATTATGAAAACATCGTCAAAGACCCACGCTACAAAGACGGACCATCCCCTGACCAATTCCCTAAATACGAGTCCCTCAAGTTGACAATTGAGCGCACTCTCCCCTTCTGGAATGACACAATCGTTCCTGAAATTAAATCCGGCAAACAGATCCTCATTGCAGCTCATGGGAACAGTCTGCGTGGTATTGTCAAACATCTTGATCAAATGAGTGATGAGCAAATCATGAAACTGAATCTTCCAACTGGTATACCATTTGTGTACATCTTGGATGAGAATCTTAAACCAACAGCAAATGGCAGTCTGCAGTTTTTGGGAGACCCAGAAACTGTTAAAAAGGCCATGGAAGCTGTGGCCAACCAAGGCAAAGCCAAATAAATGTCGATTTATTGTTATATTAATTTATTCCTAAGCGTCAATGTGTAATATGTGCGAAAAAATGGATAATAAATATCGTTTATGAAGCACTTGTTTTATTTATACAAAAAGCACATAAAAACTCGACTGATTTATTCCGTAATCGGGTTATATAAATTAATTAAAAATCTTCCTTTTAATTTATTCAGTAACTTGTTTTGCAATTTGCATAATTGCTTTCGGAAATTTTTTTGGGGAATGACCGATTGGAGGTGGACAAAGTTGAACAAACTATGTTTTTATATCGGTTATACTTTTTACAAGATGGATACATTTTTACAAAAGCTGGTTTGCTCAATAAATGGCAATAAATAAAAACAGTCTAATTATAAATAATGGACAGACCGTTATAGTCCAAATTCGTTTCAACATTTAATAAATTTAAGTATAAATGATAAAATTAAATCACAACGCTTTGTCAAAAAACATAAATAGGAGTATTTTCATAAGTACTTAAAATAAATCAATTGATGACATCGAAATGCAGTTATCTTCACTTGAGATAATACTACTAGAAATACAGGAGGGTGCTATACGAATATTTCAACAGTGACTATACGACCAACATTTCAATAAACATCGGCTATTGCTTGATTTGGTGTTCGTTTCATATTATTCGTCTACAATGTACGTAATTACAGTGGTGAAGGTGTACTTAATTATGTAAAATACGTTCACCTACATTATGTTTACTGTGCTCAAGTGACAATAACCGTAATGCATTGCCAACATAAAAAAACTTAATTAAGACGTTATGGTTTTGATCAACTAACCATCACCATCCCATATGAGCATAATTTGTAACTTACAAATACTCTAAACTTCATATAAACAATATTAATACAATTAACTATATAACATTGTACAACATAATTTACTTTAGTTAAAATAAAGAAAAAAAAAATAAATATAAATACTTATTATTGTCTGGCACTCAGTTCTTTACAGTTACATTTCAAATATATACAGGGAAAGGTGCTCCTAATTACGTTAATACTGTATACTAAAAGAGCCGTAATATATTTAAAATGTACGACAGGCCAAACGTTTGAACACAACCCTTGTAATTTGTACAATCAATAAAAATGAATTAACTGTAAAAGTTATCACGTTGTTGGTAAAGAGGCAAAGGCGTCACAGGTGAAGAGTCTTCTTCGTCTGTGCTTATTTGTTGAGGTTGAAGCGGCAACGTCGCCAATGCTTTAACTAGAGAAAAAATCACATTAGTTTCACCCAACACACAGCACAAAACATGCACATGCAAAACAACAAACCTCAATCTAAGAGCAAACTTCAAGCCAACTACTGTTCATCGGGATTGTTGGTACCTATAAAAAAATACAAAAAAATGCAACAAAACACACAACTTGCAATAACTAACATGCAAAAAGACCAGTTATAATCTCTCACCTGCAACGATTTTACTCATTTCCATAACTTGCTTGGCAAGTATCTGGTTTAACTGAAGCAAATGTTCTCTTTGCTTTTTCTCTTCTATCATTTTTGATGTCGCCTTATTCGTTATGTTATTTGGTGTTTTGTTAAATTTTTTCTCATCTAAAAAAACAGTAGGTACAAATAACCGAGGAAAACTACAGGTGGATATGTACCTGAAGCAAGATTCGATGAGCTGCTGCTGATTATAGCAGCATCAGAGAGCATTTTCTTAATTGACTCGACTTTTCTTAACCTATGCTCCTGCTCTTCGGCAGATAATTGAGGTAATTGTTCAGGTATATATCTTTCAGGTATACTAATTTTATTTGGAGTTCCTAGAATATTATCAATGGTGCTTTCATTGTATTTAAGCTCTTTGCTGCTCAAAGTAGAGCGAACGACATCAGGAGTGTCGATTCGTTGCCTTAGTGCCCTCTCCATATCCAAGTCATCTCTAGCTCTCCTATCATTACCAATCATCTTATCAAACGCGTTATCATCGGTTGGTAACTGGTTCAAACTCTTCATTATCAAGTTGTTGTGAGGGGCAGTGTAGTGTCGACGTTTCTCTTTAGGTATCGCTCGCCTTTTTGTCAATTTCGGAGTATCTTGAATTGACATTTCGGTGATTATTTGACGGGCAGCTTCGCTCTTAAATATCGGCGACAGTTCAGGCGATTTTTCTATGCTATCTTCAACTCCTGAACTCGCCACCCCATCGGAATAAACCTGGGGTAAACTGGGACTTGATAGCGAACTTTGACGACTTAAAATACCACTACTTTTGTCCGTTTCAAGCGTCGGTGACATCACATTCGTAGAGCTTTGGGTTTTTTGGATAGGAGTGGGTCTAAAAAGGATGCTAGAATTTTGAGACGAAGTGTCTTCTTCGACAAGGGCGTCCCATTTGCCAGTTGTGCTTTTCTCCCGGTCCCTTTGCCGTCTTTCAGATTCTCTTTTGACTATCCTCACGGTTTTAATTTCTTGCTTCTCGTAAGATGCCAAATTTGAATTTTGTATAGTATCGTCGCTAGTTGAATCACTCGATTTTAAGCTACGATTGTACAAATCGGCTTCTGAATGTTTAATGTCAGTGTTTATGTACAACGGAGTTACATAAATATCGTTACTTTGATGATTGTCCCAAGAATCACCATGATCTACTGAGTTCATGGTATCTAAATCAGTTTCACGCCAAAACGAATTCACTTTTTTCTTATTACCTTCATCTAAAAGTTGAAAGATGGTAAACAGTCAAGCTTTTACTTGCACTTACTTTGCGTTACAGCCGGTGAGTGTTTAATTTGTTGTTGTAAACTATTTGAGCGGTCAGTGAGTTGTCTAACTTGTAAACTAAGTTCCTGCCTCTGTTTTTGCAAGTCCCCAACTTTCTGTTGCACTCTTTGTAAGTCTGATTCTAACATAGCACTAGTACCCATAGCACAAGGCAAACTATCACCTGCGCAAAAACAAATCGAATAACAAAAATCACATTGCAAGGATTAAAGGATTGTTTGTACATATTTATTTGTGTATTGTACAAAGCGGATAGGACAGTGGGTTTGGCATTGTATAAGCAAAGCAATGTGCTCATGCAAAGGACACCTCATCCAAAAAACAGAAATATAAAAGAAAAAGTCATCTTATGCTGCAACAAATACAACACGGTTAAAGTAGTATCATAATAACAATAAGAAGGCAACAAAAAAGACAAACAACGTCTTTAATAAACATACCAGCGTTTGAGAATTGTGGTGAACTTCTCTGTTGCCTCGAAATTTGCAGTTTTTGTTTTAAAATTAGTAGTTCTTGTTCCAGTCTTGCATTTCCAGCTACAGTCTCTTCAAGTTTTTTAGAATTTTGAGCTAACATTAAATGTACCCTGCTTAATTCATTTTCTAAATTAACCTGCTGTTTTTTCGCTTCTTCGATTTCAGCAGGATCACTAAATCCTTTATTTAAACGATTCTTCAAGCCACCTAAAGCCCGCTCGATGTCCTCTTTATCCTGCTGAAGATTTTGCAGCGTTCCTGATTCTTCCTGGATTAGTTTGTCCAACTGGTAAAGCTGTTGAACTTTTTCTTGCAATTGTAAATGATTCAAATTTAATCTATTCCAGTCGCGTCTCTCGTCAGCTAAAAGACGACGCTCTTGGATTTGCTGATTGAATTCTAAACGATCCCTAACATGAGGCGCTAATAAATTGCGCTCATTGGGCGATCGATATAAGGAACCTAGTTTAACCATGTTATCCACAAGATTTACTAAAGGCTTGCCTTTTTCATACTAGAAAAAACAAAATAAATTGGAGCACCAAGCTTGAACACAAGCGAAAAACTTACTTGTTTTTCTAGCTCTATTAAATGCTGCTTGATTTGCTCCAGTTTTTGTAAATTTTCTAATCTTTTTGCCTGGTTTAAAAGTGATCCGTGGAGCTGTGCCTATTTAAAAAATAAAAATTACAATGTTTTGCAAAAACAACGTAAATATCAAAATTTTAAACTCTTGAAGTGTGTTAATTTACAAACTTGAAATAGTTATTTAATAAACAACTGTATTAATCACCGTTTATTACAATATTTTTCCGTTGATCGTAAAAACAACTCAATTTCATTCATATCAAATTTTCTAAAATGTATATTTGGTTGTCTAACCATAAACAAATTAATAAATTATTTTATATGGTTACTTGAACAAAAATCATTCAACGGTCAACGAAAAATGCATATAAATTGATGTCAGGACTAAAAATTCACTTGCAATTTTATTCACACCAACTACAACCGTAAAGCAAACATAAAAAAACATCGATACTCAAAATATCGCTCTTAAAAAAAACACTTGAATATTAAAAAACAAAGTTGATTTGCAACTTAAGTATGTATCATAATTTATAAGTGATGTGTTTGCAAATATAAAAATTAAAATAAAACAAACTCCGTCACATATAATAAAAAAAAAACAAAAAAACTGCTTTTAAAAAATAATAACTTCAATTAGATAGATTGACACTGCCCAGTATCTAATTTCAATCAAACGAACACCAATTTCCAATACCATGCCACCGAATATCGAATTTAGAAATCAACACAATTAATTTAACACAAAGTAAACCAAAATTACTAAGATAAATTCGGTAAACAAATATAAATATAGGCATTTTCAAATAACATCGATATTCTTTGCCCACCTCTAGTATGGTTTTTTGACATCAATTTAAATACATACATGCGTAATAAATTTCAAAATGTTAGAAAGGTCCTAGCGGTTAAAACTATATATTTTTCTGATGTTAGTAAAAAGCCAACAGGGTTAGTCAAAATCGTTCAAAGTCAAACCTGTATAGTATCGATTTCATTATATGCATTTTCGATGGCTTGTAAGGTGTTAGAACTTTGCCTACGTAACTGAATTAAAAGTAAAACGAGTTCTTCGTGCGTCCTACCGAGTAGTTCACCAGCGGAAACATTCATTTTATCATTTAAAGACCAATTTTCCTGATTGATAACAAAATAAATATCGGAAATAAAACCAAAATGACTTACTTTTCTAACCTTATGATAATGAGGATTCTCCATACAGACATCGTGATGATTTGGTCCTTGATTTAAGTAATAACCCTGTTGATGCGGCCTGGAACTCACACTGAAGTGTTTCAAATAAGATCAATCGAACGACTTACATATAATTCTCGTGCTCGCCTGCCCTCGCTAAATTTGTTACCGAACGTGATTGCATCGTTTGAGAGTTTGGAGTCCATATTCTTTTAGAAGAAATGGCTTTTGGAAACGTATCTCTCGTATTTATAGATATTGAACCTGACGCTACAAATATTACGCTCAAATTGTACACAATAATTTCGCACTTGTCATCAAATTTTGATAAAATTTCATGAAAAGTAACTACCGTAGCCATACTTTTTGACAATTCTTTATTTTGAAAGAGAAAGTTTTCGTCTACATCATGTAGGTATATACATAATATACAATTACATATAATAAACGTGGTTGGATATACCTGCTTGCTGAGTGTTGAAATCAACTGGTTCACTCCCATCACCTATTTCTAGCACCGTGTTACTACCCCTCGGTCCCTGTGAAGCCGTCATTTGGTCATCAGAAGGGGCACTCGAGAGCAAATCCCACTGTCTCAACTTCTCTCTATCTATGATAAAGCTCCCTTCCTTTCGAATCCCACCACCTTCCTCAGTCTTACTGTCCTCTTTCTTAGGCATATTGTAGACATTATCGTTAACATAAGTCACACCTCGAGTAATTCCGCGAGGCGATTTTTTCTGTACTTTCTTACTCTCACCAATACTATCCAAGTCGTCCATCGACTTCGTATGTCTTTGACTAGCCGAACGTAACCTCTCTCGCCATATTGAATCCTCCTCCCATAAGTAACTCCCTTCAGCTATGTTATCAGAAGTGTTATTCTCGATAATGAAAGTGGAATCGGCTTGGTCGCCACTCTCGCTAAACACATTTTCCAACAAACCCTCCAAAGAGTGCGACCGTCGCACGTTTGTCTCATTATTTGTCATTTCCAAACTGTTGAACTTGTCGATTTTTCGCGAAGGGTACAGATTTCGTGTCTCGGGGTCCGACTGGGTGTTACCCATTTCCGACACTTTCAACCTCTTTAAAGTATCCGATTCGTAAATATTTTTCTTGTCAATATGGCCCGACTTATCTGTCAAGTTGAGAAAATCAACAGATGCCGAGCGTGCTTCTGCTGCGAGCTTGAAAGTATTGTCAATGATGTTTGTCGAAGAGTGGGCTTCGCGCAAATGACTGTTACACTTGATTGGGTTAATGATCCGCGTTATGTCTCTTTTGCTCCCATTCATTGTACCTCTTTGATTGTTTAGAGTGAGTATAGTGGAAGTGCTGTCGGTATTCGACACATTCATTGACAAATCAGAGTAATAGTAAGGTGCAGGCTGATTAAAAGATGAATTTGACGAAATGTCCCTCCTGTCGGAGAAATAAGACGAAATTGTTGGCATTTCTTGCACACTCAGAGAACTACTAATTCGTAAACTTGGGGTTGACCGATTCGAACCTTGCAAAAAGCCGCAAATTTCGGCCGAAGTAGAAGCCCGACTTTCAGCCCGTTTCTGATAGTCGTCACTTGACAAGTCATTTGTCTCAATATTTGTCTCAGATTTCTTGTCTAACTTTTCCCTGTATCGAGCAATATAAAAGTTTTCGTATTCGTGGAACTTTTTCGAGTCGTTTAAAACCGTATCATCCTTCAAATGCAAGTCAGTGAGATACTTATCCAAATCAACACTATCGTCAAAATTACCGTTCATTGAATCTAACTCGTCGCAAAATTCCTCAGAAACGGGACGTCGTTTTAACATTCTTTCATAGTCCACGTTTCGGGACAAAGACATACGTAGTTCGACGTCAGAATCACTGTTTTGTGACAGTCGGCTGTTTAGTCTGCGGTCCGCCTCAGTGTTAATGCTACAAACTGACGCACTGTCTTGATCTTTAAGGACACAAATCGCAGATAAATTTTGTTTTTTGTCTAACTCGACTTTCTGATTGGTTAGAATACTATCATCAGTATTATCTAAATCTTCTAAAGGAGGTGGAGAGGTTGGAATCGGAGGGGGCGAAACTAATTCACTATCGGAACTATCTTGCAACTCTGCAACTGTTTGACTGGCTCCTAAATAGTAAGAAGCTGGTCGGAAATTATCAGAGAGACTAAATCTAGGATTACTTGGAGTATCCAAAGAATCTAAATCTTTGGACGCTTCATCGTCAGCGTCCGAACTGTCGGACTTATTGCACGTCATTTTTGATCTGGGAACAATAATATCTGGGAGTTTACTTTTCGTATTTTTGTCCGGGTTTTTAAGTTCCATGTATACGGGTTCAAATTTGCCTTCACTGATACAGACCATTTCGTATGGTTGTTGGTCGGTGAATTCCGGATTGTAGTTCGATTCTAGGAAAGATATATCGATGTTGTGTGTCATTTCGACGTAGGGGTTTTCTTCGCATTCGTTGAAAATGACTGTGGAGTCACTATTTCTGGGTTCTAGGATGTTCTTTTTTGGTGTCATGGTCATATAGTTTTCTTCAGGGATTTCTTTAGTGGGAGTTGGAGGATTTTCGGCCTTTTCGGGTGAATTTATTTTTTTCCCGAATTCGGCTAAAATGCTCTTAACGAGTGCTCCATTACTTTTGATTTCAGTTACGACTGGACTTGGTTCGAACTTATCGGAGTATTCGGAACGCAAACTGGAGACGTGAGCTCGATGTGAGGACTCTTTATTGCATTGTACTAAAGGTTTTGTAAATGTGCTTTCTTCACAGGCGTCATTCTCTTTGACTTCCTCAACCTCATTATTTGTGAAGTGTGAAATATCATGCATTGTGTCAGATTGAGTTAATGGCTTGTCAGGTTCCTTCAGAGTATTAAACACAGTGATAGAAGTGGTATGTACAGGTGTAAGTGATTCAGAATTATTCGGAAATGTGTCCAAGGTCCGTCCTGCCTGTGATTGCACATTTTCTTTGCTTCCCTCCTCATTTTCTGAACCGACCATAAAAAATTTTACAAATTTTACAAACAAAGAAGATCCTTTTCCAAATAAGTACATTAATTTGTTAGTAGAAAAAAATTAAAAGTTAATAGTTACCACCCGAAATGTTAGTTACAGAAAAGACCCAAGTTGTTCCAGGCAGGAAGGACCAGTGTAGACTACACCAAACCTGACACCAATTACACTAGACCTGAGAATTCTCAACTAACAACTAACCAAAGATTGAAATTCTCAGTTCCCAACTACACGGTACCACAAGACACAAATCATCTATTTACCTTCATCGTCTGATGAATAACTGTTATATTGAGGCAAATTATTCACAGACCTTCTTCCGTCTGGGTACACATTCGCCTGATTTTTTGACATGTACTCATTCTCCTGATTTTTACAATAATATTCAGGCCTTCCAGAGTACACTCTCTGATTCTGAGCCTTCCGATTTAAAGGCGATTGCAACATTCTTTGCTTCCATTCAAGCAAACGTTTCATTGACTCTTCGCGCTATAACAAATTACTTGTTTAAACCGCTGATCTGATTATCCTCGAACATTCGCTTAATACATTAAATTACAATCATTATCTTTACTATAAACCGCATACACAACATAATTATAGCCCAAACAGGTCTTCTACATCACTATTCAACTGTCAATACCTAGAACCAAATTATTCTTTCAACATAAAATAATACATCCTTCTAAATTAAATTAAATTCAATTTCAGTAACAGCATCCTTTGATTGAAAAATGACCTGAGGCAAATTTAGCCAGAAAAACAAACAACCCCTTAAAATCTTATAATCAAAACGCTTTATGTCATACACAGATACCAATTTAAATCATTGTTCAAACCCAAAAAAGTATGTAAAAAAATATGTTTTTTAATAGTTTTTTATTTAAGTTTAGCAATATTAGTTGTAATCAAATATTTTAAACGTAACCGTTCTAAGAAACTGAATTTGTTTATTTTTCCTTTTCTGAGAAAAAAGTATTCCCACTATTTTTAATTTCAAAATTTGCTAAACCTCACTGCAAATCAAGTTGAAAAGGGTTGAAATTTTGTGCCTAGAGTAACAATAATTCCAAATGTGATCAGGGCGTGGGCAGAAATTAGTATAGAATGTTAATTTGCTGTATTTAGAAGTTAAAAATCTAGATATGTGTCAGAGCTTTAATGTTATAAATCTTAACAAAACGTGGTATACGTTACATAAATAAAGTGTCAAAACCTATTAAAAGTAAAAATAGAGAATGAAAACGATGCAATTTCTTTAAAAATCCTTGTTAGAGCACGAAAGACAAACGCGAAATTAAAGTGCTGGCACATTAAAGAATTAGAATCATTTCAACAATGTGGAGAAGATGTAATCATTAACGAATGGCAACAATAGCAATGTGAGCTTCTATAATTGCTCATTAACAACTTTTATGTAAACATAATTAAATAATTGTTAAATAAGCGGTCTGTTAAAATCTCCTAACAGCTCTGTGTCTTATTGGAAGTATTATTGACAGCTTAACGATTGTACATTACTACATATTATTCATTCTATAATAAGGTAGTACGATAAACAAATAACTCATTTCTCTTATCTTCGCAACGATACGCATATTATTTTATTTTTCAAATTAATAACAAAGTCTGATAGCAACAAAAAAACAGAATTGGGTGTGCCCAACTGGGTGATATATGGATACCATTTCTTTTTTGAAACTAACACTGCGTAACCTGGGTGCCAGTAGTGTGTTATGTCAACGACAGAAGCAATAAAATCCGGAATTCATGAGCCATGTCACAATTAACAAATAGATTACGTGCTTATTAAGAAAATAATGCAATTGCTTCAAAACGACCTTTCCGGATCTAGGTAACAATACGAAGAATGTACAAACAGGTGCCGCGAAAAGAAATTTTAATAATTTATTACAAAAAATGTCTGATGTTATCTCGACCGCTATTATTTGTCAAGGTCCACCAAACAATACACGCTACATCAGATTGGAAAACTTACCTTTCTGTCGCCTTCCATGGTCATCGGTTTTCCGTCACCTTGCAACCCATTTTGCGTCAATCTGGCACTCGCTGAGCGCGTAAACTGGTCATAGTCGCGATTTCGCATGTCGTCGTAATTATAAGGGTCTTGCCTGGCAAACGACGGACTTACAGCTTCACGTGCAGTATCCAACTCCTTCGACAACGAGCCTTCACTTAGCACACTTCGGCTCCGCACCGGCTGCATCTCGCTGACTTGCAAGGTGTTAAAATCGATAGGTTGAGTGTTTGATCGCATTAGTGCGAAATTGTTCTCGTTTTCGGGGTATTTGCTCGCGACCCGTCGCTGGTGCATGGGATCGGCCGAAGTGGTGTAGTATTTTGGCATTTTCGGAAGGTACTGAGCCGATTTGCGCATTTTTTCGGCGTAGCGCTCCTCCGAGTAGAAGTAGTTATCACTATCGTTGCTATTTCGGTTGATATCTAGGCTAGATTTAGGCCGCGGCTGTTGTCGAGTTAAAACACTGGGGTTTGGATGGCGGTGGTTCAACTCGTATTCGAGGAAGTCAGCACTGTGGGGTCTAGTAATCGTCGGACTTTTCCGCATTTGGGGCACCGAGTATTGAACCATGTCTTTGGGCCCCAGCATATGGACCGGGGTGTACGACCTGTAGGCCGGGTTCACGACAGGGTTCGATTTTCTAACATGACTGTAAGCTATCGGGCTTAGGGGCCGTTTATACATCGTTTGGTCGGCGTAAACATCCTCGTAGTCGGTGGGATGTCGGGATTTCGCAGGGTGTAGCTTCGAGCGACCGTAAGTGTCTGGTGTTCTGCGTTCCATGTTTTGAGGTATGTTTTGCAGTTCTCTCGTTGGTGTGTAAACATATTCCATGTGTTTTGGACGGTGATGTATATACTCCGGTTGGGGGGATTGGGAATTCATGTGGACGTGGCCGTAGATATTGACGGGGGATTTAGGGATGTTCCTCATCATATGTGGATTATATCTTTCTAAAACATCAGGACTAGGCGAGGAATAACTCCCGTCGTTCAATCGGCGCGGTTTTGGGGGTGCGTTCGCATAAAGGGGTTGATTGTATTGACTTAGTTCTTGCTGACTGGGGTTACTTAAGTCAGTCGTGTTACTAGAAGAATGCATATGAACCGGAGTATTACTCTCTTGATGATCGGAATTCTTTGACTGATACATAGATGGCACAGGAGGAGCCGACTCGGTTTCTCTAAAATACAAAAATTACAAACTCGGTTCAAGTCAAGTCACTTAAGTCACATACACGTTACTTTGCAAAAGACAAGCTAAATTAAGAACACGTATCCATTGCATCATTAATTCTTGTGAATCAGCTGCTAATATATACGTCCTCATATTAGCATGTTCACATTTGAAGGCATATTTTCTATTGACTTTATCTTCAGGTCCACAAATTGAAACTTTGTAAGACGGAAGTAAAATAGAACCTAGTAGTTTTTCCTCCTCGGGACCTAAAACCAACCACTGACATGACAAACCACTAAAACACCTCAATAACTGTACTTTTATAATAAAATAAGCAATACTCGGACAAGACAAACCACCTCTTCTTCCACAACATCAACCCTTCAGAACCTTGCTTATGCAACCACCCTTGCATCGTAACAGGGGCCTCCACAGGCCGCTTCGCCGAAGGTGACCTCAATTGTGATGAATTACTAGATTTTTTTCTCTCCACTGGTACTGGTTCTTTTTTCACTTGTGGTTGCACAGTAGTTTTCTTTTGTGCTTCAGCTTTGTTTTGTTGGTGGTAATGTACAGGAGGTTGATGTGGAACCCAAATTTGTGAACTCGGTTGAGTGATTTGCGTGTGTGGATGTAAGGGTGGTGGTTGATTCGATTGGTATTGAGTGTTGTTCGTTTGTTGATGCTGATGAACATAGTTTGGAAGATAATTTGTACTGTTGATTTGTTGGGGTGAAGGTTGTAAATGTCTGTGGGTGGCTTGTGGGTATTGTTGATGCATATGAAAATGCAAAGGAGAGTTTAGTTGTTGGTGAGGATGGGTTTGATTCACTTGATGTTGATGGTTGGGTATTTTCAAACCATACTGCAATAACCGAAGGTGTTGGGATGCGGTGTTATGTTGATGTGAATGTTTTGGTATTGCTTCATTTGGAGTAATTTCGTTACTGGGAGTAACTGCAGTATTGTGGTATAATCCCTTTTTGTTTTCCATACTGGTGGGATCAAACCTATCAAAACAAATTATTAAATCACTTTATTTGTATTTAACAAACTAATACCAGTCCCACAATTGCCACAAACACGAGAACATGTTTACTCTATCAAATGTCAAGTTCTCGAACTAATGCGTATAAATATTTAAAAATAAAAATAACCATCTTTCTAAATTTAAATCGGGCCACAACATTTTAAATTCTATTCGTTGATGTAGGTCATAATGGTTGCTATTCGAATCTCATCGAGGACTAGTGGTGCACTTAATTCAAACGTGACACATCACGAATTCACTCATTTTACCTAGTTTTACAACAACTACCCTACTCTAAACACAGTATCATTCATCATATATCACACAATAATAACAGAGAGAAATAAAGCATTTCTGTTGAGGTCAAAAAGCTTACTGATCACTGAATTGCAAAGTGAGGGACGGCGCCACCGACGGCGCCGACGTAGACCGTCGGTATTAAGATTTCAACCCTAATCCCTATTGAGGGTCGAACACCGAGCTAGTCATAGCTCGGATATTAAACCGAGAATAGTCAGGAAGCAGGACAATAGCGCTTTATACCACCTATTCAAAAAACTCTAAACACTAAAAAGAAATGCCATTTTATATTTATGAAGAGCCACTCTCAAACCCCTCACAACTTGACAAAAAAATCCTAAAGTTGAAGCAAAAGTTCTTCCAGTTTTGAAAAAAGACGAACTTGTTATCACTTCTTAATATTTCATTGCGTTGGTTTTGAGAATAACTTTATGACTTTCTTGTGTTATGGCGCTAATAATGCATCGACAAATGGTAATAAAATTCCCGCGTTGACATTGAGTAACTGTGAAAATGTGGATAATTAAATTCCGAAAGGCAAGCAAAGAAAATTCACGTTCTTGACCTCGAACGCAATCTAAATAAAAACATGATAAAACAACAATACCAATGACACATCGGAATTTCCAAAATAAAATTTTGCGAAAGAAAAAAGCTTTGAACATTTCGCAGTATCCATCCACACCTTTCTTAATCACTTGCAAAGCACGAGAAGCATTTCGTGTTAACAATAACCACGTGACACCAAGCTACAAGAGCTAATTAAAATTCATATCAATTGTCGACAAAACAACTACCTACCTACTTTATTTGTCTATTGTAATTTAGTTCTTACACAAGACGTCTATCGCATTGATACTCCAGTATGACTTTCACGTAAACGAATATTGTGCTGAATAAAGAGAGGATCAGTTCTGAGTCATTTATTTGTTTTCGTCCATCTAGAACATATCCTTTTTCCAGTCATCTAATTACTTGTAGCCTTGTAAAAATTCAAACAGGAATCGAGTAATAATGAACGGAAGACATAAAAGAAGAGAGAACGTTGGAACGAAGTCTGCATCGAGCTACCAGTTCATTTCAATGTCAAAAGAAGTATTACTCAACGAAGAGAGGAATTTTCTTTCAAGATGAAAGACGAAAGAGCAACAATTTTATAGAAAACTACAAACTGTGAACTTTGTCTCTGCAATAGGAAACGTGTTACAGGCGAATAATCAGCCTTTAGTAGAAGATGTCTTTCATTTTCTAAACCTCATTACGACCTCCATTCAGTAAATGATTGATATATAAAGTGACGAATGATAAACTACGATAAAAATAAGACTTAAGGACTTTTGTAAATTTTGTTTTGTTTTTGAGTTTTGCATTTTTTTTAACAAAAATTATAATTTGAAATAACAACTAATCGGTTGCCATTAAAAAAAAAAACAAATTTAGAAAAAATTAATATTTCTTAAATTATTATTTTTTTCTGAAGGCAAATAGTTTAACTAAAAAGCTTGGTTCCATTCTCTTTGTTCACCCTGTATAATATGTCCATTGGCAAAAAACTAATTACGCATTTATTCTTTAATTCGATACACATTTATTACGGCTATGTTCCAAACATTACACTTCAATCACGATTTACTTTCGAATAATCGGAAACCGGAAATTTTGCATTTTAATCAACACTCTACCAGAAAATTGTCTACTTTAATTTAAACAGACGAAACATTGTTTCCTCAAAATTCTTTTGTTTAAAATTGTCACAACCAATTTGGAAATAGAACACATCGAGCATTCTAGAGGAAACAATTTCCAACTTTTTCTTTTCTCCATAAACACTTAATAGTAGATATTATATCAATTGATGCGACCTATATTCCATAAAAGCAAAAATAGATTTTTCATTCGTAAGCAACCAAGAAAATATTTTCCTTCATAGAAAGTGCAATAAATCTTGTTGATTAGTAGCCTATTTCTGTCACGAAAGGGTTTGCGTCTTAACTGTGATCAAACATTTCAAAAAGGAAAATTATAACAAATCAAATCTAACGTTACATTTACATAACTTATCGCAGAATCTTAAGAATTTCCAGGCATATGTTTACAGCTTCCTGTACCGATTGAATAAAAATAAAAAAAAGGCATAACATCTTAATTTAGCCACCAATGCAAGTGCATATTTTTTACAAATAGTCGAATAATAGCCAATTTATTTATACTGCTGATACTTCCGTTGGTACAAAAATATGGTGTACAGGTGTCTTGATTAATTTAAGGAATCAGTGAAATGATATTTCCGCCATATGGTTGTGTTTTCACTGTTTACATTAAGCAGACAATCAATGTGAACAAATCTGCAGCAAAGGAAATGTTTTAAACATACTAAAATGTTAATCAACAATGGTCATAGATAATGATCTGTTAATAAAATTAAATTGTACCTTTTTCGCTTTAATTTTCTTATCAAGCTTTTGCGTATTACAAGAATAAGCAATCTTTTTTTAGCGTTGATTAATCTTTGAGAAGACAATAAAACGTTAAATAAATATCATTCAAACGGATCTGTTTTATTGGTACTTAGTTAAATATAGTCGCGCTATTAACGTAAAGTGAAGAAAATAGCTCTAAAACCGAAAATAACCCAAATACTAGGCCAGTGAAGACACTTTGAGTCAAGGTCAAAATCAGGGTGCAAGAATTTACAAGAATGACAAATTACAAATTTCATAATCATTGCTTGATGCTTCTAAATTGGCAGCCAATTTTAGTTAATTAATATACTAATGAGAATTTAATTGTTTATTATTCAAAAAAGTCATCAATCTTTATTGCATGAGAACATTTTAATATAATTTTACTGGCAAATTGAATTTGTAAAAAAATGAGAAGAAAATGAATAATCGCCGGTAAAATGCTGACAGGAAGCGCTAAACAAAACATTAATTTTTATGGTTAATATATGCAAAATGTTAAATAAACAAATAATGAAATTAGTACTCATTTACACGCACTATCTACAATGTTAATAGGCTTAAAGTGTCCAGCGAAACGTAACAGTTTTCGTTAGAATTATCAAAATTATGTCACTGAGATTGCTGGTATTTTTAGGTGTGTTTGTTTGACTGTAAGTCTTCACGCACAAGAATTAAGAAACTTGACATTTGATTGTGAAACACAAATAAACAGTGCCTTTTTGCTCGAGTTACCACACGTGCAATGTTTTTAATTCGGAAATCTGGCATTTAAGCCCAAGAGAGGAAAAGTCGTTTTTACAGAAACGTGTGGAACGAGAATAGTGTCGTGTCAAGGCACGTTGAATGATTAATACGTAATGAATGTAAAAGAAGAGAAATCTGTGATAAGATAAGGAAAGCTTTAAGCTCATCACCCTCCTCACCTGCGATCATCCGCATGCTATATCCTGTGGTAGCAAGAAGCACATTTTTGAAAAACAACGCGAAAAGAACAACAAACAACCTTGACGTCGAAAACAGTTAGCATAACTCTGAATTTATCCAAATCATGATCGCGAGTTGAACCCACGTTATATTTTTATATAATTGTAGAAAAGGTGCACATACACATCACTCTCCGAGTTAAATAGTTTGAGTTCATGCACTAAACAGTTCACCAGTTTGTGCTTCAGTTCACAGTACGGAACTACGTTAAAGTAGTGTTAAAGCAACCGAAAGCAACCAACCCACAAAGGAGTGGGAACAGGTAGTCAAGTTTATCCTCGTATCTTGGCCATGCTGTAGCATGCATATGGCGCTGGCGCCCCTCTACAGCTTCAGACACCTGTTCTCTTCGAAAGTTAATTGTTGGGGTCATTTCCGACAAAACACTACTAAGTGATAACTAACAAAGCTTCCGATTGTTTCCTAATAGCTACACTCTTGTACTACCTTGCCGGTACCTCCACTCTATTTCCGCTACTTTGCTAATTGATAGTTCAGATATTTGACAAATTGGTATGTGTTTACGCGATGTAACTTTACCGGCAACTTAACGATGTATTCCCTAATTACATAAAACAAAAATCCAAAACATGTGGCAGCTAGTAAAGTTACCGGTAGCGGTGTATTAGGTAATAAGCGAGCTTAATGGATTGTAACTAGTGGGGTTCTATACGCTGTGTAACTAAAACAGCCATAAAATTGTAATGGTACATTGGAAACTGCGAGCAACCAGTAAAACTTTGATTCTGGCTAAGTGCGAGAGGCAAAGCTTCATTGCCCATTGATATGCCTCACTGGAGTGCTTCGTATTTATTATACCACTGCATATAGCCTTGTCAATTTTAGGTCAATTCCACCTAGCTTGGAAAAATTGACAAACAAATAAGGGAGGACAACAGAAGGAATTGTTACATCATATTTAAACCGTCCAAAGTTGATTCTTAAATACTGAGTACAGCAAATTTTTTGCTTTGCTATGTAATTATTTGTAATTTCTTGTATGCTTTGTTTCTTATTTTATTTATACACAGTAAGAGTTATTTAGAGGGCAAGAACCGTAATATCTGAAATGATAACTTATACTCCCTCTGTTCCGAAATAAGTGTCATTTTTTTAATGTAACTTGGTTTAAGTATTATTAAAGATTTTTCCGGTAACTATAAAATTTGTGAAACATTAAATACTCTTCTGATATTCGTGATATTTTTATAGTTTGTCGAAGTTTTAAAGATCAATAAAAAAAAGTTGTAACAGCATATAATCTTTGTATTTTCTTGAGGATACTTTATGTAGCTTTAAGTACTCTGACAAAATACATTATTTTGGTTTCACAAAACAAAAAGTTAAATAAATAGTTAAAAATGGTGATTAGAAATACACACACTATTTTATTATTAATAATTATTATATTTATTTTATTATTATTTGTACTTGGTTTTAGAGTTAGTGTTCCGTACGAATTAATATTCATTGCTGAAAGATAAGCTATTGATCTTGCACAAGTTAATTTAATGTATTTGATACTTCTAAGTTGGTAAATTATTATTATATCCACCACTGAACCGATAGTTCGGCGTCACTCAAGTAAGAAAGTTTTATTATGGGTACTTTGCAGTTACCGTTTTGTCTTTTTTTGTTTTCTGTAAATGAAGAATATTTTCCGGTTCAAAATTTAGGAATTGGATTTTTTGCTTATTATATTTTATGTTGCGAGTTAAAAAATCGTTTTTTGCATTATCTTTTCCTGGTTTTAAAGCAATAATGAGCTTTTTTAAGCAACAGATAGACCGGAACAGTCACTTATAAAATTATCGTTGTTTGCAAAAAGCCACATTACAATAAATTACTCCAACCTTCAGTCCATTTAAAAAATTCAGGATGTTACAACACTTCTCCCATTACCATAAATCCAATCAGTGGATTTGGTACACTATTCCGTTCATTGAACTCGTAATAGCAATGATTTCATTTGTTACTTACCTTAGTCTTCTATATTGACAAAAAATAAGAACTTTTTTTAAATTTTTTAACCGCTAAAGATTAAGGATGATGCACATGAAGTCATGCGTAAAACAGTCGTATAAAAACTAAGAGAAAACAGTAAATATGGTGTAAAAATGTTACCTAAATATCAGTCTGAATGGAAAAATTAGTTGGGATTAGTAACGAAATACCTTGAAAGTGATTTTTTGTAATTTAAGCGTTCAATACAACAGAAACACAAAATGTTAAATAATCGCATATAATGTTACAACAACTTTAGCTTTGAATTCATATATTACACAATATTATTTTTACATAAAGTATCATGCACTTTGTAGATGATATAAAAAAAGGAATACAAAAATGGAATTGCAAAGAGTTTTATATTACTAAATCAATATTTTACTTATTTATACAATCAACATATACAAATAATAATTCAATGCATACTACACAACGTAATCAGTTATTGTAATAAATGGTAAAAAATATATCTGAGGACAGTAGAAAGTTAACTGTTTTAAACTCCTCAAAATATGAAGAACAATTTATTTATTAACTCGTCGACTATCCTCTGGTATGATATAATAACAATATAACACAAGTTACACGTCTCTAGTGATATAATTTTATTTCATATTGGATTTTTAATATACATTCAAGAATATCGTTTGACCCACCTTAGCTTTTTTGGTTTAATTCGAGTGCAACAGATCTGTTTTAAGAAAAAAAAAAGTTTATTTGATATACAATTATTGTACATTTAATTTTTCCGCAATGGACCCTTTTCTTCCGAATAAGAGGTCTAAACTTGATGAATTCAGCAAAAAATTCATATTCCTATAAATTAACTGTCAACAAGCAACACTAACGTCACACACTTACATATTGTCTCAAAGAACATTCTCTTTCTAATATTTTTACTGCAAGCGAATCTCAAACAAAAGAAGAGCGCATGTCTGTGCAAAATTTTCAATATATTAATTTTTTAATGATAAGGTAAGTCTACTATGGAATGCACTCTTAATTACACAATTTTCTAAATTAATTAAAATTGATCCGCTAGAAGATCACAAATTTCTATTGAGACGCTTTCTTTACTAGAGCGCACCGTCAGTCTGTACATCTGTCAAAAACAAGAAAACAATTACAAAATACAAAGCCACAAGAAAAAAAAACTTACTTGTGCACTCTTGTTCGGTTCTAAACGGAGAAGACATCCGACTTGTTGTGACCGCATGTGAATAATCCCAGCACAGACAAAATTATCAGGATTTGGATCAATTCCATCTAAGAGTTGCATCCCAAATCCCATGATTTTTGTTCTAGCGGCTTGCAAATCCATCTGTTGAGTCGCTCTAAATATTTTCTGAGATCTTTGCTGATTCGTGCTACAAAAAACAATTAAGACCCAACTAAACCAAACTGATCAAATTTACCTTCCTAGATTTTTCCACCTTGCGAAAAACGATTCACCGTTCATTTCAGTCGGTTCAAAGAATTTATTAATCGTCAATGGAAGTTTGATCGTTATTTTCTGGGGAACGTTGAGATAAAGAAAACTGAGCACTATACTTGGGGTACCGGTATAATCATCTACACACTCGGCGTTGATCATTTGTTGAATTTGAGCACCAGCTTCAAGGACCGGCTCGACAGGCTTCATTTGAATACTCAGCTTTGAAGCCTGATCATCAGGCCAAGACAATGTCGGTACGAAATTTTGCAAAGGGACGTTAGTCTTATTTCCGTAAAACAAACCAAGTCGGCCTAAATTCTGACGAAACTCGCTTTTAACACCTATTTGGATCAAGTCATTTTCGAATAAAACTCCATTACTTTTACACACGAACCTAAAAATGGGAAATTACCATCGGAATTTAGGAATAAATAATTTTTTACTTCTTGGGGTTGTACATGTTGACAGGTTGAGTGGCACTGTTCGTATTATTTGCTTGTTTGCCCCCATAAATGTCCCCAAGGACGTCTAAGAGCACACCAGTGTTACCAGAATTTGGTTGTGCTGTTGGTGGGGTTGACAATCCGAGTAAATCTCCAGAAACGGCACTACTGTTATTTACATCGTTGTTGTGATTGGCCACAGGTGTTGGACTTTTGTTCTCCTTAATTTCATTTTCTGGAACCCTCCCTGGTTTTTTCTTCTTCAAAACAGCAAGAATTGAGCTCTCTCGTTCGGGGAAAGCCGGCATTTCTTCCAATACTGTGGCCAAAACGTCCGAACTTGCAATAATACTTAATTGCAAATATTCCGAAGCTCTTTGTTGCAATTCGGCATCAGCTGATCTCAAGTTACTGTGTTGTTTGAAAACTTCTTGTACTTGAGTCCGTATTTCAGGGAACAAATTAATGAATTTGATATAAGTCGAGAGTAACAAAGCTCGAGTCATCGGCGAACATAAGTGATATTTCGAGTGGAGAAGTTGGAATTGAACTGATGGTGAAGATCTTTGATCCCCGGCAATCAAATTACCAAACTCTCCCAGAATGTAACCGCCAACTTTGACCATATTTTCATGACACGCGGGTGCTTGCAAAGCCTTAAATAAACACAAATTGATAAATAAATACGGGAAACAAGTGAAGACATACTTCAAAGACTGTTTTAGCAGCGTAACCTTGAACTTCATCTCGGTTGATAACGATTTGTATAACTCGATACCAGACTTCTTCAGATACATAATCGCCCGCGATTCTTATCAAATTTAAAATAACATCAACATACCTGACAAAAAACGTAAACAAGTGTTACAACAATGCGAATTTGTTTACCAAGTGTAATCAGTGGCGTATTTCTCGGCCAAAATTGCGACTTTTAGGACCATTTCTTCCCTAATTGAGTAATCAGCCGTTTCCAAATAATTCAACATCTCTTGGACGATCTCTTCAGCATTGCTCTTATCACACATGGCGTATAACAAATCAACAGCCTGCTGTCTTACTGAAACATCTTTTTCCATTTTCATTGACAAGATAACAACTTCTTGGTGTTTCTTAACAGCTTCGTGAGAAAATTCAGACGTTGCTAAATGACACATCGATTCCAAAGCCAAATAACGCAAATTTGTTTCTCGGTTGCTCAAAAATTGGCCCAATTGGTTACAAGCACGCACCAACAAATTCGCTTCGCTGCATACATAAAGTGAGATTTTTCAAATTTCAAAAACTCAATATACCTGTCATTGTGAATAATTAAACTAATGGCCTCGAATAGTACGGCATTTTTAGCATTTGAGTGTTGCACTTTCTTCGATTTTGGAGGTTCTTGGGCTTTATTCAATATGGTTTCTAAACATTCGTTCAACCGGCCACGCACCCCTGGATCTTCAGCTAAGATTTCATAAAACAACAACGATTTTTATCACAAATATTTAGACAAACTGTGTAATAAATGTCGACCTAATTTTAAATTGGCAGGTTATCAAGCGAAATCAATTTGTGATTTTGCATGACCTTTTGAACTTGTTATGTCTTTGATAATGCGATTTAAATGTTAATAATTGAAATATTTTTGTTATGTAAGCACTTTTTGCTTACCTGGTGGAGTATAGTTTTGCAGTAGACGTAAGAGTTTGACGGAGAGCCAAGGTGCTGGTACGAAATAGTATGTGTAGTCTTGTAAATCAGTATAACTGGCCGTGACGATCTACAGTTTTTTTGTGAAATATTTGGTAATTATTTTAAGAGACAACTTACTCTACTTAAGCGTGAAACGGCAAGAGAAACGCAGCCTTTGTACTCCTCTGGGTTCTTCTTAACTAATGCGTCTATGAGACTTGTCGCGGCTGTTACTACCCCCATGTGTTGATCATTTAGCAGATGTATAATACGTGAAGTCCATTCTCCTCCTGGGATAATTTCTTGTGACGTTCTGAATAAACGCAGAAGACAGAGAGCTGCACTTTGTTTAACTACATCCATAGTATCGCCAGAGACAAGAAGTTTTGGTATTTCATTACCAAAAGCTTCAGCCATTTCTCTGCTGCCAATATTGGCAATACATTGCAATGCCAAGTTAACATGAATTGGGTTTCTTGAAGCCAAATCATTTTTAATACTTTGAATTATGAGTTTAATCAGCTCACTATTAGTATTGACTAGCACTGAAATAAATAAATATCCCTACAAAAAAATAGTGTCAAAACAATGACCAATGCAGAAGTGTCCTTGAATTTAATCACAAAAAGCTCAAAATTAGCGATTTATGAAATGGATACTTTTCAGATAGCTTACTATTTGCTTTTCAGAGTATTTGTTGGATGATAGGAGATTTACAGCTTCCATATGCCCGAAATCAATGTCATGTCCGAGTAAAAATATGAAGAGTAGTTTACAAACGTATTTCTTCTTCTGGTACCCATCCAAAGTCTTATCTCCTTTGAACTTGCTCCTTATATTCGCGAGTTCCTTGTTAATGCGTTTGATCTCCGCTTCTTTGCTTTTACCTACAGCAAACATTTGAGTCATAAATACTGGAATGAATAAAAATTCTTACAATTTCTTATATCGGAAATAAATACGGCCAAGCCACGCATGCCATCTCCTCGCACTGCCGGCATGTTGGCTGAAATCGCTTCTTTCCTCCAAAATCCTCCTCTGAAAAACGACTCCGATCAAAAACAACCCACTTCACCCCTATTAAAAATCAAAAAACTGCAAAAGGTCATCAATGACCCTCCCCCTATACTATTGCGGTTTTTGACAGATATCGGCTACATGTAGTACAAAAGAAACGGTTCACTTACAAATTTTCTTTAAATATCCGACTTCTCCGATTATTTATCTACACAAACAGCCAATAAATAGGGTCAATTGTCAACAAAATATCCTTTTTACACATCAATCTTTGCCACTCCACAAATACATGGGCAAATTGACAGCTCGAGTTTTCGGCTAGAGGACGCTTCGAGCGCTACTCTATCAAGACGAGAGCGCTAAAATTATCCAAAAAGGAAATCAACAAGACAAGTTTAATCAATTTTTGCACAAATTGATATGATTCGCATTTTTTATCTATTAAACATTTCAAGCTCACACACGGCGTTTTTTGGATAAAACAATGAGATGTAAAAAAATAAAAGCGTGGTTTTTACGCTATAATTCATTTAAAATCAAATCAATCAGCAGAAACAATAGCTTTTATGCAGCGTGGGCAAAAATACTACATCTATGTGTCATTACTATTATAACAATAATGATAACAAATTATAAAAACAGTTGGGTTGTTTGATCAATAGTTTTCTACAACACCTAACAATGTAAAAACAGAAAATTTATATTTTGTTAGGGTATTTTTTTACCAATAGATTGTTATTACTCATTATTCTTTGTTTTTTGTAAAATAAAAAGTACTTGTATATTCATGTTTTCCACATTTTTATTTAATGTATTGTTGGTTGCATATATAACAAAAATAAATTGCATTTTTTTATTACTCATTATTCTTATTATCAATTAATATTTCAATAACAATTTTCTGTAATAAGTAATTATTAAATATTATATTAAAAACTTGTTTTATTATATCTCTTTATGCTGAAGTAATACGTGAATGAAACAGAAAAGCAATGCAACAGCCCACCAAATACCGTTGCATTATGCTTGACCAGAGAGCGAAAAAGGAGAATCATTAATTATAACTGTAATAGTTTCAATGACCCATAGTTGCACAACTGATTATCAAAAAGTTAAACCCTTTTGAGTACATTTTTTTTAATCATCTAGGTTTTTTATTTTATTATCATTTTCACTTTTAGAGGACCCTCTTATTTAAGATCAATGCACCAAGTGTTGATGTTGTTTTCTCTCTTTTCTCTTTTATGTTCAAGGAAATCAATAATATTAAAATTGCATTTTTTCTCATTTCCTATGATTTGCTTGGTATTTGTAGTCCGGTTCGCAATTTCGCGTATGCGCACTTAGGTCTTCGGCTTCTCTTGCATGTATTAGCATGCCCTTACAGACTTCCAACAGTTATCTCATTCTTTCATATCCTTTATAGATATAGAGGAGAAAAGAAATAAGAAATTGGGTAGCTAGTTGAGTAATGATGTAAACTGAAACAAAGTGGAAAACGCGGTCTAGAAATTAAGCGCCGGTTTGTTGTTGAAATAAGTTTTTGCGGAAGCAAGTAGGTAGTGTAAAAGTGAAAATAATGGTGGGGCTTTCTACAGGACACATATTTTCTACAGGTTCTTCAAAAGAAGGTATTTTAATTTAATAAATTGCATTGGTGAAAAACCACAAAAACAAAATAAAATAAATAAGGTATCAACTGAGATATATTTTAAATAATACAAAACAAATAATTAACTACAAACAATATAAACATATACAGGATTATTCATAAATATGAAGCAATATTTGAACCTAAAAAAAGACCTGTAAAATGATATTAATTTAAATAATAATTCGTGTTCTATCTCTACTAATAAGAATTTTACAGTCCCCTTAATGTGTTTATGGAAATTTGTTTTTTTTTTTTGTAATAACTTCGGAACCATTTGATCAAGTATTATAAAATTTGGAATAGTTACTTGCGAGAACATACCATTTAAACTATTAATCACGAAAACCGGATACCTCTACTCAATACTCTACTCAATTTCCGGTTCCAGTAGTTGCAGGTCACACGTTTTCTGTGTTTTTCCGCTTTTTGGCCTCTTAATTTCATAATTTTTTATTGCACAAAACAAGAGAGTCATCAATTTTTAATAAAAACGCATAACCTTTAATACCCTTAAAATGGACCGTTTTAAAGATATTTTAATTTAAAGTGGGAACTGCACAACGCTGAAAGCAAAAAGTATGAGTTTTGAATAAGTGATATATCCACGGCAACGAATGACCATGGTCACATATTTTGTTGTCAGGCATCTGTCAACTTGAGATTGAACGATTATTAGACGATTAATCCAAAATATTTAATAAAAGAGTTTACCTCAAACTCCAAACATAACTTAGAATAAATCCAAATGGATCTCGTAGCATTTAATTCATAAAAAATTCACAAAACTTTATCGTCAAAGTTAATAGATGCTTCAGCGATTTATGTGGCCATGGTCATTGGTTGCCGTGGATACCACCTACACAACTGTTGAGGTTCAAATATTGTTTCATATTTATGAATAACACTATATAGTAATTAAATAAATAATAGAACATAATTGTTCCTGATCGCAATAAGACATGTTTTACCCTCTATAATTTAAGAATGTTACTAGATGTAGAACACTGTACAATTTTAATATTTATTATTGATTTAATAATTAGAACAACAAAAGCAACATTAGGTAACATAAGTTAAAAATATACTAATGCAACAGAAAAATTGTATTTCAACTTTAATTTATTCCAAAATATATTTTTTCTTAATATTTATAAAAATCAAAAGGGATATTTTCAAACTCAATGGGAACATTATGCGTCATATCATAAGATTAGGAATAATAAATATTTGAATAAATTGGATATTGTTTGTTTGTATAATTGCAAGAAGATTAAACGATATACCAAAGATAGAGAAACAGACTGCAAACCGTGAAGTTTAACACATGTTATAAAAAAGTTTAAATTTTGAGCTATAGGTTTTCTGCGTTTTATTTAAAATCGTATGCTTCATTTTTGATTTGGAATGGTTTTTCTTCACTTGCTTTATGTTGTAGTAACGTTTTTTTTTGTTTAAGTTATGTACATACATGTTTTGAATAAAAACTATAAAGTTTAAGTTCTCTTTATTATTAAAAGTTTAAAAACTATTTATACTTTTTTAGTTATTGTTTTGTTTAAACTCTATAAAATTGATGATTTTGAACAGTAATGCTTATATTTTTGTCTACTTTTGAAGTATATGGAACTTGGGGGTGGTGGGTTATGCAACTAGCATTACGTAATGACGAGTGAAATGCTTTGATGAACACATTTTCTGTCAAAAACTCTTCTGACATTAGTTCTCGTCCAATTCTGTCGGACGTCAATGGTTTTCTTCAGTGGCGGTTTTCAACAACAAATTAAGATCTATGCAATTATTTTTAACAAAAATTAGATTTCTCAGATTTCTTTGTATAGAGACGTCTACTCTACACGAATATTTTCGGGGTTTTTATGCGTCCCCAAGGTAGGCTTCTATTGTCAACCACAATCATCTATTTTTGTTTTTGTTATTGTTTATTTACAAAATCTGTAACAGCACGCTTTCAACTATCACTTTTCTTATCACTTGCATTCTTTCAACCATTTCCAGAGATGTGGAATTGTTGAAATTTTATGATGGTCATTTTTGTAGTTGGAGATATGTCAGGGTTAGCCACAACAGCACCCTCATCCGCTGACGCCTGCCTAAGCATTGTGCACAGTCTGATGTGCCACAGACAAGGGGGAGAAAGTGAAGGCTTCGCCAAACGTGCAATTGAATCGCTTGTTAAAAAATTAAAGGAGAAACGGGACGAGTTGGACTCGCTTATCACTGCTATCACCACCAGTGGGGCACATCCGAGCAAGTGTGTCACAATTCAAAGAACTCTCGATGGTCGTCTGCAGGTATTCATTCCATGCTTTCTTAACAAATCCCTCATTCAAGTGTTGTTGCCACAATTATACATTCATTTTTTTAGGTCGCTGGACGCAAAGGCTTTCCTCATGTGATCTATGCTCGAATTTGGCGATGGCCCGACCTCCACAAAAACGAACTCAAACACGTGAAATATTGTCAGTTTGCGTTTGACTTAAAGTGTGACTCAGTATGTGTGAATCCCTATCATTATGAGCGGGTAGTGTCCCCCGGCATTGATCTTTCTGGACTTACGTTACAATCTGGAACAGCTCGATTAGTGAAAGATGAATACACCGCTGGACCGGTCCCTGGTGGCAGCATGGATGTAGATGGCGAAATCGGTATTGAAGTCTCCCAGACCATTCAACACCAACCGCCACAACAAAATTTTGCCCTGAGCGGACTTCAAGCACCTTCCACAAGTAAGATTTGTGATAATAGTCATTAGCGTATCTGTATTCTTTGATTTGAAATACTTTTTTATTTTAAATATCCACTTTTCGTATTTTTAGTTATGCATGTTATGTTTTCGTTGTTGTGGTAGGTGATCAGGGAATGTATAATTCACCAAACAGACCAGTTATGGGACATCCCGTACCTAAAATTGAAGGGGGAGTTGACGCATGTTCCAGATCTAGTTGGTTACCGCACATGCATATACCTCATCGTAAGATTCTTTTTGTTTTTTATTTTGCATTTTCTCAAATTATGGCACTCGTATCGTAGATAATTGTTACTTTTTAGTTTAGTTTATACAAAAAAAAACATTACATATAATTCTCGGTAATTGCTAATTATCAATTAACGCATCGTCTTACATAAATATTTTTCTTACACCTTATCTTCAAATCTCCACTTAGTAAAATGCTTTTTCGCTGAGTTCATTTTATCGATTGCACTGAATTCATATTGTTGGTGTTCAGTTAATTTGTTACGTGAAGATAAAGCGGTGAATTTTTTCAACAACCGTACAAAATTTGCTTTTTGCACCAGTACTCCAGTGAGTTGGTAAAATCCAAAATTTTCCTCATAAATTAAAATATTTAAAATTTTTATACAAAAATCATAGACACTAATCTACAACACCTGAAATTAAATGGTTAGCCTTGCGAGGAAGAAGTTATTTATTTTTCTCTAAGCTAAACTTTTATTAGTCGATTTTGCCTAATTTTCTGACTGTTTTGAAAAATTGGTTACACAAAAACTAGTAATAATTAAAATTAAAATTTTCACTGTTTTAAAGCAAAAAAAACTTTATACCCAATAACAACATCTTTTGACATATTGCAACTACAATGCTAAAAAATTATAGAATTTACTAAACGTTAAAAACTGTGTCTAATTTTTAAATATTTTAACACTCTTAGGTCAATAATAGACTAACTTGCTGGGGCACTCTGTATTTTATATTTTTTTTCCATTATTACAGTAATTAATTTGTTTTATTTATTTTATTTGTGAGACACACAATACAGGATGCGCCAGAACTCGCGCCCCAGAGAAAAATACCATATAAGGTTAGATATCAGGAACATCGAAAAAATGTTAAAAAAATTTATCTATAAAAATTTCGAAGTTATGAGGGTTTAAAGTTTGCACTATGACTCTATTTATTTCTGCTGGAAAAATAATTTTTCAAGTTTTTTTTGCTATAAGCTATTAAAAGTAGAAACAAGGAAGCTGTATCCTAAATTGTAAGTCTATGCAATGTTATTTGTGGCTTTTATTGGCAAAATTATTGTCCCTTTACTGAACAATTGTAAAAAAACATATACAAGATCATTAGTATCATTAAATAGATATAAAAAATGGTCAAATGTCAAAAAATAAATTTTTTGACAGAGAATTTTTTAAATATTTTTTTCAAGTTTCTGGTATCTTACCTTATTTGAAAATTTTCTCTGGGGCGCGAATTCTGGCGCAGCCTGTATATCGAATTACTTACCAGTTTTTATAACACACTTTTTTACGTAACTACGGTGTGTACATTTTTTAAATTTGGTAGAAGTTACTGTAAAAACGTTATCCTGCAATATTTTGCTTCTCATTGTTGCTAATTTTAGGTGGAAATAACCCTCCGGTGTCGCCCCATTTGCAACAGAACGGCTTTAACAACTCCACTCACACAACAACAACTGTTGTGAACAACAACGGTGGTACTATAAGCGGCAGCCAACCTGCGGCTACGGCCACTATGGGCCAATCTTTTACTGGTGCTGGTGGTACTTGGACCGGATCTAACACGTTAACCTACACCCAATCAATGCAGCCTCCTGATAACCGTACCCATCACACAGCTTATTGGAATACGAACCAGTGTAACGACGTAAACATCGCCGGTTTGTTGTCCACTCAACCGGCCCCCGAGTACTGGTGTTCGGTCGCCTACTTCGAGCTGGACACTCAAGTGGGTGAAACATTCAAAGTACCCTCAAGTTGCCCAAATGTGACAATTGACGGCTACGTCGACCCCTCTGGTGGCAACAGGTTTTGCCTGGGTGCACTGAGTAATGTGCACCGAACTGACCAAAGTGAGAGAGCGAGACTACATATTGGCAAAGGGGTACAATTAGACTTAAGGGGCGAAGGAGACGTTTGGTTACGCTGTTTAAGCGACCATTCGGTTTTCGTCCAGAGTTATTATCTGGATAGGGAGGCTGGACGACAACCTGGCGATGCGGTACACAAAATTTACCCTTCAGCTTACATAAAGGTATTTTTTCGTGTTGGAAAAATGAGGTGTTAATTAGGGTTGCAGGTTTTTGATCTGAGGCAATGCCACAACCAGATGACCACTCAAGCGGCCACAGCACAAGCAGCGGCGGCGGCACAGGCGGCGGCGGTGGCGGGACACATCCCTGGACCACATTCAGTGGGCGGGATAGCGCCAGCTATAAGTAATTATTTAGTTGAAGAAATTTTTTACAATACACTAAATATCTTGTAGGTTTATCGGCTGCAACAGGAATAGGGGTTGACGATTTGCGCAGACTTTGCATTCTGCGTCTTAGTTTTGTTAAAGGCTGGGGTCCGGATTATCCCCGACAGTCGATAAAAGAGACTCCATGTTGGGTAGAAATTCATTTGCACCGAGCACTGCAATTACTGGATGAAGTGCTTCATACTATGCCGATAGATGGACCACGTGGTATAGAATAAGATGGTCGGACTGTTCTCATTTAAATGTTTTTGTGTCCATTTTTAAACATTTTGGTAGTCAAACAACGATTGTTGTCAATTCCGAATTTTTTCTTGTAATAATTGGCTTGATGAGACAGCGGCAAGTTTGACAAAATATTTTATAAATGAGTAGTTTAAACGTTAGTTATAAGTTTGTAAATTACGCTTATATAATACTTAATTTAATAAGAGCGGATTCATTTAGTTTGTAGTGATATTCACTTCTTTTTTACATAAATATATATTTTGTAAATACCTTACAAACAATTGCCTTACAGTCGAACAGAACTTTTCATATATTTTCTTAAAAATTATGATAAATCTTTGTTTGTCATTTGGTTTGTGCCATTTTATTTTGTACAAGATGGATGCCAAATTTGAAATAGTTATCGCACACGATATGATGAGGGTAAATATTTATATACATTAGGCTGTGAAAAACTGTGTAGTGTGTAAGTTTTTTCGTTTTTGTTGCTTGATATTAATGTGGTAGTGAATGTCTTATTTAAGAAACCTTTTTTGTATTCTTTCTAATCACAAGTACCTAGCAAACTGCAATTTTTTCATTTGCTGTGTAAATGTAGATAAGTAGAATATAGATATTATCTATGACACAATGTATGTTACATTTTTTTGAAAATTACACTATTATGACATGTAATTGACATTTTATTTTTCAATTTTCCAATTTGTATTACACCTCAATTTTCATAGTTGTTGCAAGGCCGAAATAAAACAATTAACTTTTATTATTTAGTCTAGTCTATCTATATATTATAAGATATCTATCTATAAATTATAAGACAGAAAATATGTGGCTTTATTTTATTTAATTTTCGTTTGTGAAACTTGAGTCTTTGGATTTTCTTAATTATTATCAGTTGCAGTAGATAACGTTTTCAAGGTTTCATTCTAGTTTGTGTGAGTTCCAACTTGCCATATCGTTACTCTTTATGTAATTTTTTGAGTGCAAGAAGTACAGCGATATTTCTTGTCTTCCCAAAATTTTAAAATTGATCATTGCAGGTGTCAATGGGGGATTATCCTTTTTATCTGCTTTGAGAGTTTGAGTGGTTTCTAGGCTCTTTTAATCTACTCATAGTACAAAAATACTTGAAACTATCAGTTTTGTCAACATTTTCCGTTTGATAAGACTTTTGGTAAATTGTAAAAACTAGGTATGTTGAATTCTTCATACATGTTTTATTTTCAGAAACAACTTTCATGGTTAAAATGGTTACAAAGTTCTAATCTCACAAAATGTCTAATAAAAAAACGTTAAACTTTGTTATTGTCGGGGAGGTGGGCGTCGGAAAATCAACATTTATCAACATGTTTTCAACCTATTTTAGACATGAGGATATAGATAAAGCAGCTATGGATTTTCCAAATAGTCTTGTGATACCTACTGTTGTAACGATTTACGATGAAAATGACGACGACCAAGAATTTAAAATACGTTCAGATAAAGATGAAATTCAGGAAACAGGTTCTAGTGGTACTCAGAGTGTTAAGTCGTATTTTTTTGAATGCAAAGAAAGTGACTTTAACATAAATTTAATAGATACTCCAGGGATGGGTGACCAAAATGGTATAATGAAAGATAGTGAACATTGTGAAATGATTTTAAATCATTTACGTGGCTTGGATGAAATACATGCCTTTTGCTTTCTAATGAGACCAACGAACACCAGAAATACAGTTTTCTTTCAATACTGCGTAAAAGAGATAATGGCACGGTTACATAAATCAGCATGCCAAAATATCATTTTCATTTTTTCAAACACAAGAAGTCATAATTATGGACCGGGAGATACCTTACCTGGAGAATGATACATACAATTAATGAAGAATTGACAGATGTTGAAATCAAACTGCATAAAGATACTAATATCTTTTGTTTTGATAATGAAAGTATTAAGTACTTAGTAGCAAAATACAAAAACGTGAACTTACAAACCGATGTAATGAACCATTATAAGCAGAGTTGGGACGTTTCAAAGAAAGAATTTATACGGTAAGTGTTCACTTATATGTAGGTACACATGAAAGGTATATACTGTATTTTTTTATAATTATTTACGTAGGTTAATTGAATACGTTAGTAATCTGGAGCCGCATGATCCAAGGAATAGTGTAAGCCTTAATAAAACAAGAGGATTGATTTCCGATATTCTTAAACCTCTATCAGATGTCTCAGATATTTTGCAAGAAAACATACAGAATTTAAATAAAGCTGAAGAAGAAATAAAACAAGCAAAAAAAATGATAAAAGAATTGGGAGATAAATTATATGTAACAGAAATTGAATTAGAAATAATTAAGTTGGAAAATCCAACCAATATTTGTACCAATTCCACCTGTGCCACCCTAGAAACTAACGTATTTAAAATAAAATTGAGGCAAATATATTTAATTAATGGGGTTTAATTTTCAGAGTGATGGTGTAAAGAAATGGAATTTCAACAAAAGATGTCACGAAGAATGCACTTGGGTGGGAAATCTGATAAAAGAGGAGAGTATTGGTCACTGGGGTCTTTTTTTCTGTTCTCAAATTCAATTTTGGGATGGGACGTGCAAGACATGCAAATGTTCATATAAACAGCATATGATAATTTTTTATGAAACTAAAAAACATTATAAAAAAGTGTTGCTTACTGACATTAAAAAAGATTTTGATTCTATAGAAAAAAAATTGATGCTGATCAATATAATCAGCAGGTACTTAGACAGCGAAAAGAGGAATTACAAAATGAGCTCGATTTTGCAGCACAATGTGCAGCAAAATTTGCAATTTTTATAAAACATAATGCTATCGCATCTGTAAATGATGCATACGAAGGGTACATCAATCTTTTAATTAAAAGGTAGAAATTTAGTTTTCCTACTTAGGTATTTGTAAACTTACATTTTAGAGAGGAATACCAAGGAGATTCTTCCAACCTTGAACATATTAAAGTTCTACAACATACGTTGGAAAAACATATGAATTTGAAAAAAATGTTTGAAGCCTCAGATGCATTTAAAACAGATTTCAGTGCTACCTTCCAAAATATAGAAAATGACATACAAAAATTGTTCAGCTGTAAACATGTTGGACCCATAATTAAAGAAATCTACGAAAAGAGAACTGCATGTGTTAGAAATGCAACAGAGAGTCACAACAAAACGAAGATAATCATTTCCGGAATTACATTAGGATTAAAAAAAATGAAAAACAAATCACTTTCACTTATTTTTAGATTAAAGGATGGACCGAATGAAGCGGCGCCGACGGACCCAGCTACTGAAGCTACGGAAGACGTAAAAGATTTGTTTCTATTATAGACGGTTCAAACATAATAATTGTGTCTACCTACTTTGTTTTGAACGAAAATAATGTGTTTCTTGTTTAGAATTAACTTGATCTTATATTAACTCTTATATTAATTAAATAAATATTACATAATATAAAAATGTGAGTTTTGTGTGAAAAGTTTGCAGAATATTCGCACAGTGCATCTGTATTATTGCATTAAATTTCCATAATAACTTAATACTTCACCAATTAGAAAAATATAAAATTTAAGTGAGAAATTATTCTTTAAGAAATTTCGTGCATTTTATTACAGGTTCATAAAGTAAATAATTATGAATGTATAAGTAGAGAGGGTAAAAAGCACAGTTCTGATTCTGACAAAAAAAAACTAAAACGTAGTTATATACAAATGAAGTTATAAATATTTATACTCATTATTAAGTATTATTATTTTGATAAAAATCTATTCTTTGTGTGTGTGAAAAATTTATATTTTTTATTTTAATTTTGCAAAAAAACATTCCCACATAGTGGTTATGAGTATGACTTACATATGTCACAATAAGTGGAACTACTGTACCAATTTCAAGGAGATATAAGTCTGAGATGTTTAATTTTTTTAATTAATTGTTATTTTAGGAGAGTGTGTTTTTTTCTGTTGTTTTTTTATAACCCGGGAGGAAACACTTTCCAAAAATTCAAATAAAAAAAATACTGAGGCAATTTAATAAGTTACTAATATGTGATATCACTGATATCACAAAATCTTGTTAGTATATGTGTATGAGGTTGCCTATATCTTAAAGGATATCTGGTGTTGCATCACCATATTGAGAATTGCCTACCATAACTGTTTATTACCATGCTATTTTTGAACTACCAGATCGTGCTATCTAAATTTTTGCAATTTTTTTTTCTCCAATTCTATTTGCTTCTACATACTTGTTTTTGTTTGTTTATAAAAAAATTAAAAAAATGATTAATACTCAGCGTTCTCCCAAAAAAAATCCAGTTTCGAAGATTCGCAGAAGCTTTGAAAAGCACTTTAACAAATTACATATTCAAATTGGAAAAAGTTTAAAATGAAAACAAGTAATATTTGTTGAAATGAAAATTTTGGACGTAAACTCATCCTTCCCAATATGATTAAAAAAAAAAAACAATAAAAAGTGAAGTGGGTGGAGGTGACTAATTTTTGTCTCCCGTTTTCATGTCTGTTATCTGTTGAGGCAGGGCCGGCTCTACCATAGGGCGAACGGAGTGGCTGCTTCAGGCGCCAAGTCCTAGGAGGCCCCTCAGTGGTAAAGAAAAATAAGGACAAACATATTTTTTTGCTTTTCGAAATATTTTTTTTTATTAATTTAATTAAACAATATTGAGAAACAATATGTGCAATTATTCCTTTAATTCTTTTATAAAAGTTTGATCAATCTCTCAGAAAACGATTTGATGGATCGATTTGAAAATTTACAGGGCTATGAGGGGTACGTTAAGCTGTAAAAACACCTAGAAACATACCTTATTCTTAACTTTATTACACAATATCTCATAGTTTTTGCATCGTAGAGTATTTTAACTTGTTGCATCGTGTTCAGCGAGTAATTTTACGTCTAGAAAACCATATTTCAAGCGTTTTTACGACTTAAGGTGAATTGACTATTTTTACGATTTTACTACCGCCGTGGATGCCACGGACTACCGCTCTCCTTCAAAAACTCAAAAAATTCAATTTTTTTTAAACTTGACTCATTGGCGTTTTATGCATTTATTTGAGTCTTTAAGACCTCTTGAAATGTAAAAAACGTTAAATGGATCAATTTTAAAGTTGAAAAGTTTTTTTGCTCTTTGTCGAAATTTTGGAAGATTTTTGGCACCCGGAGCGGTCTATTGGCAATAACTCCGGACTTATTGACTTATCTTATATTTGGTACCGTTGGATAGAAAATTTAATTTTCTATCATATATAAAAAAGATCAGTGTTCTACGATAAATAGTTATCGAGAAAATTTGTGATAAAGGCAAAAGTATGGAAAATATAAATCCGACTATAACTTCAAAACTACTACGAATTTTGCAGTTTAATTGACGCCAATCGATTCCCCGGAACATTTTACATAGGTTTAGGTCAAAGTATTATATCATTGAGGCACAGTTTTGCCGCAATTTACAAAACAAAAAAAAGTAAAAATTTGTTAACACCCCCCCTTAAAAAATTGTGTTTTTGAACATGACTCAGATTCGATTTAAACCTATTTTATCCGATAGATTTTGACGCGCTGGTTACCAATTTACCAAGCACTTTGGGTTATCTCCTTTAGTTTCGCCGTAATCGGCGTTTAAAAATTCAAATTTTTTTTGCGAGATATCGACTTGGCTTTGGTCTCAGTCGATAGATTTTCTTACGCTGATTACGATGGAATTGAACTTTTTGCTCTAAGTCTTATAGTTTGGCCGTAATCGCCGTTCAAAAAGTAAAATTTGTTAAAATTGTGAAACTTTAAACGCGTTTTTCTACGAAACTATAAGAAAAATTGCCGGGGCTCGAACTCGGGAACTACCTGCTGGAAAGCGGGACCTTATGCCGCTGAGCCACCACCGCCGCAGGCAACTTCATTGTTTTCATTCAATATATTCAACACTTACGCAAAATTTATCAAAAAAAATAATTTTTCGCATTTTTATAATGTTTTTGTGCTTTACTAAGTCTTTTGAACCTTCAAGAGTGCAAATGGACAATTTTGAAGTTTTTAATTTTTTCGATTTTTATCAAAATTTTGGGCCATTTTCGGTACGCGGAGCGGTTTATTGTTAATAACTTCGGACTTATTGGAGATAATTTCTTATATTTGGTACCGTTGGAAAGAAAATTTAATTTTCTATCGTATACAAGAAAGATTAGTGCTTTACGATAAATAGTTATCGAGAAAATTTGTGATAAAGTCAAAAATATCAAAAATTTAAATACGTCTATAACTTAAAAACTATTACGAATTTGCAGTTTTCTTGACGCCAATCGATTCCCCGGAATATTTTACATAGGTTTCTCTCAAAATATTAATTATATCATTTAAATACAGTTTGGCGCAATTTACAAAATAAAAAACGGAAAAATTTGTTAAACCTCCTCTTAAAAACTAATGTTTTTGAACATGTCTCAGATTCAATTTAAACCTACCTTATCCAATAGATTTTGACGCGCTGATTACGAATTTCCCAAGTATTCTCTAGTTTCGCCGTAATCGGCGTTTAAAAATTCTGTTACTTTGCTTTGTTTATTTTTTTTGTTTATTTTGGTCCGTACTACTACCTCCTGATTCTCATTTTAATAAAACTTGATTGAATTTTAAATTTGAAGCTAAAAAGGACAAAATTCCTAATTTAGAAATATGTATTTTGATTTTTTTTTAATAGTAAAACAAAAGGATATCAATTGAATTGTGGCAAGTCCGGGAGAGTTTGACCACTTTTTGTCTAGTACCTAACTCAGGGCCGTACCCAAGGGGTTCAAAAAGGGTGCGTTTTTTAAAGGATTTTTTTTAATATATCAGAATAGATACAAGGGCAAAATTTGGTACAGCTGATAACCTTATATACACCTTGTATACACCTAAATGAATACCAAGATGAAATAGTAAAATTTTTAATCAGGAACGTCTTAAACGGTAAAACAATTTAAATTTTTAATATTTATGCTGTTTATGGTCTGTAACATAAATTTTTAAACTGATTTTACTGAAAATCGGTAAATTGTATGGGAAAAACGCAAAATACTTTATGTTATGAAAAACTATAAAATTTAGAATTTTGTTGCTGAAAGTGGCAAGAACCACAGGCAAAATAGTTTGAGTACTTTTTACCCTAACCCTAATCCCACCCAGTTTAAGAATTAAAATTAAAAATTCAGCATTTTATCTTTGTACTCGTTTAGGTGTACCTATAAAGGTTATCATCTGTACCAAATTTTGAAATTTTTTTCTAAAATGGTTTCGGAAATATTGGGAAAACCTATTAAAAGACGCAGCATGCGTAGCATTTTTCGATTGTTCATATACGAGACTTTTGTCTTAAAATTGAATATTCTATCTCCTTCTTAAATTTGTAACAATGAAAACGGAACACCCTGTATAGTTTTATAAGTATTAAATTTTTATTTTATTTTTGTTGCTTTTGTGAGTTAATTTGTATTTTTTATGTTTAATTAGGACCTTTTATTTCAATCTAACCAGGATTTTATTTCGGGGGGGGTTTCTTGTTGGCCCATGAAAATGAAATGAAAGAAGGCGGATTAAAAATCAAAAATCTCTAAGTACACGT